TACCATTAATAGAAGAAGACAAAAATATCAGAGTTGTTATTTAGCTGCTTGTTAATTTTTTTTACAGAAGAGTTGCTACTGCTTAATCCAATTTAGCTTTTTCTGATAAAAAGTTCATACCAGTGAGGTAGAAAATAACTTCCTTATCAATAGTACAAAATTTTACTGTACAGTTTGCTGCTGAACCCAGATCCCAACTTATCAGCACCTACAGTTTTAAAATGGGCCTCGTGAAGGCACATGAATGTAGCCAAAGAAAACTGAAAACCTATGCTGACATTTTTTGCTCAGCCCAGGGATATGAGCATACGTTAAGTCTGTAAGAAGACCTATCTAGATCTACTCCTTTCTTTGGAAATAAGCAAACAAAAGAATATGCAAAGTTTTAGGATTGTCAGGAAAAGAAATTTAAAGAACAAAACACAAAACATCGTAAGACCTATGGTATCTGGAGTTGGAGTACCTTCTTCCCCCTTCTTCCACCCAGGTTTCAATGGACACTACTGAGGAATTCTCCCATATGTAGCCTTTGTCTTAGAGGCATGTCCATGTGGGCTGGAATATTATAATAATGTAAAAAATAATTAGTATAACCTGACTCTCTCCTCTGCTGTTGGCCACTACCTTAGGGAGACGTTTGTTCTCACCTGTAGTTGCATCCTTATGGCTTCTTGTGTTTAAAAACTGACATAGAATCATAGAATGGTTTGGGTTGGAAGGGACCTTAAAGATCATCCAGTTCCAACCCCCTGCCCTGGGCAGGGACACCTCCCACCAGACCAGGTTGCTCCAAGCCCCATCCAGCCTGGCCTTGAACCCCTCCAGGGATGGGGCAGCCACAGCTTCTCTGGGCAACCACTTCCAGTGTCTCACCACCCTCACAGGAAAGAATTTCTTCCTGAGATCTCATCTAAATGTAAATTATCTAATCTAAATGGCATAGTCTTTCAACTGTGGCACAGTAGAAAGTGGTAACCCATCGAGGGAGTACAGCTCATCCAGTTCTACAGGAGAAAAAAAAAAACCTCTAAAGACAGATTATGCACCGGGACTCAAAAAAGAAGTGGCCAATTGGATACATTCATAGCGTGTACCCTCTGCCTTCTGTTGAGAACTGGTAGAAAACATCTCAAAAAACAACTAGACACTCAGTGGAAACTTTCCTAGTTTCTTGGGCCTGCAGTGAGTTCAGAGCAAATGAAAGAGGTTAGGATACCCCTTAGGACCTGATTCCATTTGAGACCTGCAGATTTCTGCACAGCTAAACATCTAAACCTCTATTATATGCCTCACTTAACCTCGATGCCCCACAGATGGGCATTTTAGGTTCCCAGATGTGTCCCACCTGGTTCTCAGCAGCTGCTTCCTCGGTGCTGTGTGTAGACATCTCAGGCTCCCTAAGACACCTTAGGTAGCACTGAACCAATGATTCATATCCTAAATATTCACTGACTACAGCCTGAGCTTAAACAGCCAGACTGGCTGTAGCTATAATCAGTGCTTAGACACTTACCGTAATTAAAAACACCTACCCATATGCATGAAATTTAAGAGTCTTAATCTTGAAACTCGTCCCACAGCACAGGTCTCTCAAGAATTGCCATGGCTTTCCTATATATATTTCTCTGGTAGTTTGGCACCTGAATTTTTCTAAGAATCTGCTTCTGCTTTTCCCTCTTCAGCCTCATCCCTGGTGTTGGTGTCCTTATTGTAGAACATCTACAGCTGTGTGCAGCAGGGGTCAGGGTTTTACTGTTCCTCAGGCAGAGGAACAGTAGAAGCAGCCTTGGCTTCTGTCCTAAGAAACAACGAAGATCAGTAGAGCAAACAGGGGGTGTATCAGACGCTGGGAGAAAGAAGTGAGATTAAAAGACACTCCAGCCCCAGGCGTAAGGCTTCGTAAATGTCTCAGTTTAAAAATACCAACATTTTGTGGTCACTCTCTATTCAGGACATCCCTGAAAATAACACTTAAGCCCCCTTTCTCTTCTCCTTCCTCCAGACATACACTTTAGCTTTATTTATCAACTGTCAAACATGGACATACTACAGCCATCCTGCCCAAAAAGACGTGCAGAAGAGAAGCTTCACCAGAATCTGCTGCCCTTCCTCTGCCAGGCCAATGGACTGCAGGAAAAGGCTGTTCTAAAAGCATTTATTCAATTAAATAACATTTTTTTTAAGTCCCATGGCAGCGAGCTACAAGCTCAGAGCTCTGCATACAGAACCTGAGCTATTCTGTCCTCCAAACCTCTTGCTTCAAATATTCTGGCCAAACTTTCCCAGCGGGTCTCTCAGGGATTTTAAAGGATTTATTCTCTTTATCACTCTAAGACCTATATGAGTCCTCAGGCAAAAGTTTACTATCTAAGAAACATCAGCAAATTCTTCAGCTCTTATCAGTTTTGATGTGGGAATTGGACAACCCACAGTTCCTGGAGAGAAATTTGCTTTCCGAGTGCGAGGTCTCATGCGCTTTCATTCACTTATCAAGCTCCTCATCCGTGGGAGTTAACTACTACGAGGGTGAAAATAACTGATTTTTCAGTTTTCTGGCCAAACCTGGAAATACAACCAAGCATATGAAGTACTATCTAAATGGAAAGGTTTCCTTTGCAAAACCAGTTGATTTCCAGATCAAATATGAAAATGCAGCATTTGGTTAGAGCAGTGTTTCACCTAGTCCAGTATTCCAGCTCCGATGGAATATCATCACAGGACAGTATTTAGGGAAAGCAGGACAGCATCTGCCCACCATTCCTCTTATTGCCCCAGCATCCATGTTAAGGATGTTAGAGGGGTACATTCGTGCCTGTTCCCTTTAGTATCTGTTCATGGACTTGCTGTCTTTGAGGTCCCTTTCCAGGAGGGCGTGGAGACAGAAAACAAAAAGACTTGGACAAATTCATGGAGTATAAACAGCTATTTTAGACAGGTCTTTCCATCTCAGCCAGGCTGTGTATCTACATCGAGCTTTCAGCAGAGAGGCAGGAGTCAGAGAGAGAGAAGCAGAAGCCTTGCAGATGTGAGGGAACTGCCCAGAGCAAGGCACTGGCAGGGCAGGAACTGGGATCTCTTACAAAGCTCCACAGGTTGGGTGGAGCATCTCTCCAAGTGAAGCCCTGCCAGCATCCTCTGATTCCCCAGGGCTCGGCTGGAACTAGCCTGGCGGTCCTGCCGAGCCGCCTGCCAAACATCTGTCTGCCTCACACAGGGATGACATCACTTGGAACGGTTTGTCTTCTCCACTCAGGAGAGCTTCAGGGGTGGAAGAGCAGGTCTGGAGATCAAGATGCCTCAGCAGAGCTTTATGATAAGGTAAAACCCCACGGACTCAGACTCTATTTTCTCTCTAGATATTTTAGGCGCGTTTATCACCCTATCTCAAATGACAGAAATCCATCCAAAGTATCCTTTCTCTCTATTATTTTTGGTAATTAAGTACCATGTGGTGGCTTAATGGACTAACATGGGTTGTTTTTGTGCTCTGGATGAACAGCTTCATTGGCAATAAAGTTTTCTACCTCTCTACCAGTGCTGTGAGCACCAGGGTACTTCGAAACATCCTGGAGTCATGGCCTGGCCAACCAGCCCCACACACACAGCAGAACAATCTTTTGCAAATGTTGATTTTTAAAAGATAGCTCTTGAACAGGTCTCAAGGATAAAGTCCTGCTGGATTCCCACTCTTTCTACAACTTAAAACTGACTGAATGCCTTATTGCCCCTTCTTTCAGCACTGCCGTCTTTACAGGATGAGGGACTTCAGAGCTCTCAAAGACAGACACAAAAAACCAATCTGGACTCTCTCTTCCCATTTGGGACCATTAAAGCACAAACCCAGGAAATACGAACGCCTGGTGCACAGAGCAGGTTCCCAAGCAAGCTGGTTTGCCTTGCAGAGAGATTTGAGCTTGGACCTGGAATTCCTATGGCTGTTAGCGCCGTGTTACAGCTCAGATAATCAGATCTGAGTCCCAACAAGCCAATTACATCCAGCACGGTGCTGTGCCGACAGAGCTTCTGTTCCTCATTTGGGACTTGGTTTGTTTTCAACTTCTTGGCTACACGGTGAGGATGTAGTACTCATAGCTGTCTTCAAACCCTCAGCCTTACAGCGGCAAGAAGCAGCAAAGGCTCCCACTGTTGCCTTTGAGCAGAGTGAGAAGCTTGTTAGAGCAGCACATCACACCAATGGGAGCACCCCTGCCCTGGCTGGGATGCAGGGGTGAAGGAACTGCTTTCTACTCCCGTTCCTACCTGCAGTAGGATAAACACAGGCATTTATTCTGGGGCAGGGCTTAAGGATGAGATGGTATTTGGAAGGATGGACTCTCGCTTCAGCCAAAGTCACATCGAGTAACTCACGTGGTTTATGCATTTGAGAAGGTCATAGAATCATAGAATGGTTTGGGTTGGAAGGGACCTTAAAGATCATCCAGTTCCAACCCCCTGCCCTGGGCAGGGACACCTCCCACCAGACCAGGTTGCTCCAAGCCCCATCCAGCCTGGCCTTGAACCTCTCCAGGGATGGGGCAGCCACAGCTTCTCTGGGCAACATGTTCTGGTGTCTCACCACCCTCACATACACCCTGGAGAACTTTGTAAATCAGCACCACTTGCTTTGTGTAAAAATAAGATGATTGCCTGGGAAGACAGTCTCTTCAGAAACAGGCAGCAACCATTTTAGGACGCCGGAGGAATAGTATGGGCAGGCTCCTCTTTATAGCTGATTACAGCCAATTTTCAAAAGCTTGCCAGCATCAAATAACAAACACAAGACTTTAATTAGGCGCGTGTGCTGGGACAAATGTTGTGGCAGGTGAGTCACACAACGGCGTGTCAATATAAACCTGGGATCTGCCCAAGCCATCTGTTTTAAGAAAAACAGAAAATAAAAAGAGAAATACTAGCTAGAAATACTAGATGTGGAAGAACATTCATGAGAAATGCTGTGACAGAGCTTACAATATTTTCGACAGTGCACATGAAGGCTCCGGTCATTCCTGGTACAAGTCTACCGTAGATGTCCTGGAACAAAAGATCCCACGAGTTAAGACTAGTTTCACAGCTTTCCTGAACCAACGGTAGGAAAACACATAGATCAAGGGTTTGCAGGCAGAATTGAAGTAAGCCAACCAAATCAGGATGTCAAACAAAACTGGGGGGGTAATGAAATCCAGAAGACTGTCTACCATAGTGTCAATAGTGAAGGGCAGCCAGCACAGGAGGTAGACTCCTACAGCTACCCTCAGGGTCTTTGCTGCTTTCCTTTCCCTCTTGGATGCTCCTACCTGTAGTTGAGACCCAATACTCCTGTTCGTGTTGTTTATCAGCCTGGCTTGCCTTTAAGCCACGGTAAATATCTTCACATACAAAACTATCATTACGAGGCAAGGGAAGAAGAACACCGGGAAGTTCAACCACCCCCAGAGTTTGTTGAAGAGCAGCTGACAGCTACCAACGCAGGGCACCTCTTCCAAAAAATGGCCCAGGCCTCCTTCGATGGCTTTGGTGTAGAGGAAGAGGGAGGTATAAGCCATAGGGACCGACCATGCCACCCCGATGTTAAATATTTTGAATACCAATATTTTTTCCCAACTGGGGTCTTATGATTATGGACAAAACCAAAAAAGGCTTTGAGGTAAATGGGTGTCAGAACCAATTACAACACCCCAAAGCTGCAGCTCACTTGTACTAGTAGAGGAAACTCTTCTTGCCGTGCAAAAACCAGCAGGATGAGATGAAAAAGAAGGAAAAGAGTTTTAGCATTTCGTTTATTGCAAATATTAAAATACACAGAGGCTGCAACAATCACTACAGTGCACCATTTTCCTGCAGAATATCTGCTGTGCAGTTCCTGTATTTTGTTCTTACACGTGTAGATTCATTTGCCTCCAACATTTAGTGAAAAATCAAACACTTTTCAGCGGGTTATGGGGCATCTGCTGGTTTCTTACTATCAGTTACACGTTGTCTGTAGCTGTTGATTCTTTTAGTGTTTGTCACTCAGAAAATATGCAGACTTAGGACAGAACGGCTTCTTTTAGAAGGCACAAAAAATCTGAGCAACCTTCAAACCTAATAATAGATTTACATACCATTAATAGAAGAAGACAAAAATATCAGAGTTGTTATTTAGCTGCTTGTTAGGTTTTTTTACAGAAGAGTTGCTACTGCTTAATCCAATTTAGCTTTTTCTTTTTCTGATAAAAAGTTCGTACCAGTGGGGTAGAAAATAACTTCCTTATCAATAGTACAAGATTTTACTGTACAGTTTGCTGCTGAACCCAGATCCCAACTTATCGGCGCCTACAGTTTTAAAATTGGCCTCGTGAAGGCACATGAATGTAGCCAAAGAAAACTGAAAACCTATGCTGACATTTTTTGCTCAGCCCAGGGATATAAGCATACGTTATGTCTGTAAGAAGACCTATCTAGATCTATCTAGATCTACTCCTTTCTTCAGAAACAAGCAAACAAAAGAATATGCAAAATTTTAGGATTGTCGGGAAAAGAAATTAGTCAAGCAAAAGAGGGTGTCCAGAAAGGTGTGCAACCTACAGAAGTCATCTCCAAAATACCAGCAGCTCTCTACGGACCGGATGGTGCTAAAAGGCAGCACGGTCAGCCCCAGGAGGAGGTCAGCAAGGGCGAGGGAGAGGAGCAGGAGGTTGGTGGGGGTGTGCAGAGCTTTGAAATGGGAAACAACAATGATGACAAGCAGGTTCCCCACCACTGTGACCAGCATGCCCGAGGCACAGGCCAGATAAATGGCCAGCTGGACCCCGAAGGGATGTGAGGTCCTCTAGCAGGAGTTGTTGGCCTCGTAGCAGAAGGTGACGAGTGTCCCCTCCTGGGCACTGGTGCCCTGGGCTGAGCCAGGACCTGCCCAGGTCCTGCTTCCCCCCCCAGCTCTGCCACCACCAGCTTGGGAAAGGATCCACCTTCCAGCAGAGGTACCAAATGACTCACCTGGAAAAAAAAAAAAATCATAAAAAAGCAGGTTGGAAGGCGAGACGTCTTTTCATCAAGTACTTTTATTAAAGCAATGGGAGAGTTTCCGCTTTTCAAGCGAAAAAAATGAGCCTGTTCTACGTGTTCAGATCAGCGTGTTCAATTTTTGTAGCATCCTTTTTTATATTTTGCTTCTTCTTTCAGCCAATAGGGCGAGGAGCACAGGACATGCAGCAAATCCAGATGGAGATAAAGAGAAGGTCTGCCTTCGAAGGGAAACCCGTGCTGAGTAACAGGCACCACCAGCCAAAGCTCCTTAAGGGATTTGAAAGCTGACTCTGCTATAATGGTTCTCTTCACCTTCCCTGGAAATGAAGCTCCAATTTAGTTATGATTCTTTTCATTAAGTAGAAGCTGTGAAGTGATTATTAGGAAACAAATAATATTTGATGTCCCCTCAGGGCAAGCTGCTCATTTTATGGTGTTCTGGCTACGGAGATATATATGGATATCCGTTATGTCGATAAAGTAAATATTCAGCAAGGCAAACAGATGTATTTTTGTATGCTCTAAATATTGCTACTTATTTTTTCTTGTGAAATTGCTATTTCAGTTATTTAATTTGTAATTGGAACTGTAAGAAATATATTAATGGGTTATAATGGGTTATTCCGCTAGTCTTTGATAAATCAGATAACTGAATGGTATGATATTTTACAGAAAGACAGATCACAGAATCACAGAATCTTAGTGGTTGGAAGGGACCTCTGAGATCATCGAGTCCAACCACAAAAAACAAACAAACAAACAAAAAAACAACAAAAAACCAAACCAAAAAAAACCCCACCAAACAAATACAAAACACACCACACCAAACGCCCACCAAAAACACCGCACCCACCAACTAAACCCCACACTCAACACCTCACCATAAACCAATAACCTTGGGCACTAGAGCATGCCCTGAAGAGCCATGTCTACACGTTTCTTAAATACCTCCAGATATAGTTAAATACATGACAATTTTTTTCTTGAAATGACTGGTAGGATAGCCAGAAATTGTTCCCACCTTTCCCACCCTTCCCAGCAACAACAGAACGTAATAGCAAATCTTTTAATCGTGTTTCCATAAACTTTTAAATCAGGGATACTTCCAGTGAAATACCTCTTTTCCTGGCACGGGAGCCGTGCCGCAGTGCACTGAAATCCTTTTCTAAGTACAGGGCTATTGCCCCAGTGGAAAGTGTGAGGCGTCATATAAAGCAAATGGAGAGAGAATTCCCTGTGGATGATTAAAATGCCTTAGGGGCATTGAGGGACTGTTGTGTGTTTGGCAAAATTTGCCATTTTCTAAGAAGTTAAAATGCACAAATGCTCAGCTGATGAAGGTTTTCTCTGTAGATTTTCTTCAGGTTTTCATGCAAGAAGATGCAGCCGATGGCAGCTCATCCTGTGGCATCAGTGACCCTCACCCCATGGAGGACTTCTGGACTATTTTGTGATGGTTTTTTGATGCAGTGGAATGGTCTGTTTTAACGTGGACCTTATAGAAACAAATACCACTGGGGATAAGTCCTGTATTTTTCATCCTAGACAGGATACTGGGTTTTAAAACAAGCTTCTCACTTCTCAGCAAAGGTTTTCCCAGTGCTCATGTCCTCCACTTTCATCTCCTGCTCAGTCAGGGCAACCACACACCAGCTCCTGAAGGGACTCCAGTGGTACGTCTCTCAGAGCTTGGCTTCTTCTACCATCCTCTGCAATTAGTTTTTTACGAGCTCTGCAATATGACCACCATCCTTCATCTTCCCTACCTTGAGTTTCTCTGGCTAAGAAGTTTCCTGCTGCCCAGCTCCCCTCTCTCTTGATGTTTTTGAGATAACCTGTGCCCAAAGCTGCTGAGACCCAGCAGAGACACTGTCAGGACAAGGCCGAGACAACTTTTTAGACTGAATTTTTAATACAAGAAAGAGCTAAAGTTGGCACCAGTTTCTGTATCGCTCTGGTTTATGTCAGGGTATGAGTAGCAGCTATTACTGTAGGGATTTAAAAACTCCTACAAGAGCAAGAATGTGGGTTTTTTTCCAGTTTTGCTTCAACAAAATATGTATAAACTGGGCATAATTCTATGCGGATGAGTAGCAGCTATTACTGTAGGGATTTAAAAACTCCTACAAGAGCAAGAATGTGGGTTTTTTTCCAGTTTTGCTTCAACAAAAAATGTATAAACTGGGCATAATTCTGTTCAACACTATGCTTCGCTGGAGACTTGCCATAAAACTTCAGAGAGATTAATTTCTGCTTTTTTTTATTTCCACAATTTAATAAATTATTATTTACATTAAGATTGTCAGAGGCTTTTGGAGATCTCTTGATATGAACAATATCAGGTGCAAGGTTTTTTGTCCTTGGTGCTCTGGCATTTTTGTTAGTTTTCATTTTTCCTGTATGTTATATGCAATAAAGTATCATCTTCACCCAAATTTGTCTCTCAAATTTCAAATAAAACCATGTCCTTGTCAAAATCCTTACCCCATCCAGCTGTTGTGATGCTCCTGAAGTGATTATCACCAACCCCAAAGGGAACAACATGGTACAAACCCATCACAGCTCTCCCTGCACATGGAATCTTGTCGAAATCACTTTGCATTTTTTCCCCTCCCATCTCATCTGGTCACAGGAAAAGAGACCAGTTCACGATTAAGAGAAGGCTCAGGTAGTGACAACATAGGTCTTTATAGTTTGAAACAAGAAGAACTTTTTAACATGTATCAACTCTCGAAGTAAGAATGCTATCGTAAAGTCAAAATTGCCAATTGTTCCTTCTATTTCCCTTCATTCTTCAGAGAAAATTGTTGGACCAAATGCCTTAGGGGCATTGAGGGACTGTTGTGTGTTTGGCAAAATTTGCCATTTTCTAAGAAGTTAAAATGCACAAATGCTCAGCTGATGAAGGTTTTCTCTGTAGATTTTCTTCAGGTTTTCATGCAAGAAGATGCAGCCGATGGCAGCTCATCCTGTGGCATCAGTGACCCTCACCCCATGGAGGACTTCTGGACTATTTTGTGATGGTTTTTTGATGCAGTGGAATGGTCTGTTTTAACGTGGACCTTATAGAAACAAATACCACTGGGGATAAGTCCTGTATTTTTCATCCTAGACAGGATACTTATAGTTTGAAACAAGAAGAACTTTTTAACATGTATCAACTCTCCAAGTAAGAATGCTATCATAAAATCAAAATTGCCCATTGTCCTCATGTTCCTTCTATTTCCCTTCATTCTTCAGAGAAAATTGTTGGACATAGCCTGAAACTGAACATTTGTTGAATGTTCTATGCACAGGAAAACACACACACAAAATATAGAAGGATAGTTGTGCTATTTGATAGCCAATACCTTTTTCTTATTGAAACTGCTTCATGTAACTCTAAGACGTAAATTCCTCTAAGTAACCTCTGAGCCTGAGTTCCTTAAAATAGAACAAAACACTTTCAATGGATGACAGACTTTTTACGAGGGCCATCATCAGTGCCCCTTTGCCGTGAAATTTTTCCTCACAGCTTCCAAAAGAGTCCGTTTGGGATCCCTAAATAGAATAAAATAGCATGAGAAGGCGATGGGTTTGCAACCTAAACCTCAACTCTTCTCTCACGTGTGTTGCAGCCACAGAGCCTGTCGTGCAGAAGAAGTTGGCGTAACATCTACAAGTCTTTTATCATTACTGCAAAGTGGGGGAAATCATAGACTCATAGAATGGTTTGGGTTGGAAGAGACCTTAAAGACCATCCAGTTCCAACCCCCTGCCCTGGGCAGGGACACCTCCCACCAGACCAGGTTGCTCCAAGCCCCATCCAGCCTGGCCTTGAACCCCTCCAGGGATGGGGCAGCCACAGCTTCTCTGGGCAACCTGGGCCAGGCTCTCACCACCCTCACAGCAAAGAATTTCTTCCTCAGATCTCATCTAAATCTCCCCTCTTCCAGTTTAAAAATGCTTCCTCTCATCCTATGGCTCCACTCCCTGATCCAGAGTCCCTCCCCATCTCTCCTGGAGCCTCTTTAGGGACTGGAAAGGTCTCTCAGATCTCCCTGGAGCCTTCTCTTCTCCAGGCTGAACCCCCCCAACTCTCTCAGCCTGTCCTCACAGCAGAGGGGCTCCAGCCCTCGGATCATCAACGAGGAATAAAAATCAATCTTCACAACAAGGAATAAAAACCACTTTTCTGCCCATAATAATATTAGAAAAGCCTGGAATGTCCTGCATCCCCAGACAGGAGCACAGTCCTTTTGGTACCCAACAGAGCAGCTGCCTGGCAGCACCCGACCACCACTTTGGTGTCATGATGGTGGGGAAGGGACACTCTGAGGTCTCCCTTCCTCTGCCTCTCCATCTCGCTCCCAACCACACCCCAGAGCACTCCCAGATTTTTATTTTTATGTTCAAACATCCTTTCTCATATTAAAATCCAAAGCTGCTTGGGATTTTCTCCATCCTGCATTTTGGTGGAAATGTGTGATTAAAAACACAGCTGAGAACTCCTCCTTTCTTACAAGAAAAACTGGAATATTCTTAGTTGATACATCACCAGAAAAACTCATGGCTGTCTCGAGAAGCTGCACATCCTTTTCTCTGCCAGGTTGCTCTGTAGCCCTTCATCCAAGCTCCGTTGCTGCTGCAGCCATGAAGGCTGACACGCAAACGATCCAGGGGGAAGCTGATTTGATTAGGTTACATAAATGGAAAAATAAATAATTTTTTTTTAATATATTACAGTTACAGCTCTCTATGCCAGGAGCTTCTTGGAACAGTTACTTTCATTTACATAATTTTCACTGAAGATGATTAAAACATTGTATTTTGGTTTGGTTTTTTTTTTATCAAAAACCATTATAACAGAAAATTGGATGCTGACTATTAAGTATTAATTTACCTGAATTTATCTGACTTCTTCGGCAGATTTTAATTTTGAATAGAAAAATGAATGGCTGTAAACCAAAACCTTTAATTTAGATCTTGAGGAATTTTATTTGGAGGTGCCACTGCAGTGTCTCTGGAGAATTGCCATTGGGATATTTTATGTTATTGCTCACTTTCTTCTTGCCTTGAGAACCAGAGTTATATCAGTGACTACATGCTAAATGTTTGCTAAGTGCTCTGCAGTATTAAGGTATAAAATAAAAATCAACACAGAGATTGCAAAAATAAATCAATCTATTTCTCAAAAAGTTTTCAGCTAGTGTTTTTGCAACCCAAGGATTTAAATTTAATATTTTTTTTTTATATACCTGTCTTACTGGAAGATATTGTTGACCTTTTTCTTGAAAGCTGCCTTTGCCTATGGACTCCACCAGGGGGTAGGAAATCCTTTCTCACAGTTCAAGCTGTGACACGAAAGATGGAAAGAAAAAAAATAATAATAGTAAACTTAAGTATTAGGCACTGCAGATAAAACCTGCCAGTTGCTGAGTTTCGAACCATTTAAAAATAAAAATATGGCAATTGTTTGAATAAGGATCACCGGCTTTGAAGACAGCTCTGAACATTGCTGTTAGAGGCATTGCAAGAGGGAGACTGAGTGTGAGTTCCCCGGATGGGATGCTCTTACCCGTGTCTTGCTCTCCTGCATGTTCAAACTGGGATGGACCAGAGAGGAAGAGGACCATAGGGGTGCTCTCGGACTGAGGTGCCCATCCCTGGAGGGGTTCAAGGCCAGGCTGGATGGGGCTTGGAGCAACCTGCTCTGGTGGGAGGGGTCCCTGCCCAGGGCAAGGGTTGGAACTGGGTGATCTTTAAAGGTCCCTTCCAACCCAAACCATTGTATGATTCTATGACCTGGCACAGCTGGCTGCGACACCATCTCTGCTGTATCCCCCATCACCACGCCATGGAGCTTCCCTCTTCCTGATGGCACCATCACACCACAGGCTCTCTGTATCACCCCCAAACACTGTGCATTTCCTGTAGCTCAGCTCCAAAAGGAGAAGCAGAAAGTTCCTCACAGCATTGTACCCTCACCGGTAAGGTGTCATGTGAAATGTATGCAAGGTTGCCCTCTGCTTCACCAGAGTTCCCAGAAATCTGGCCTCCAGGGAAAGCAGTACAGGAGTAAAACCAGATTAAGATGTGTCCAGAGAAACCTTAGGTGACAGCACAGGCTCTGAAGGTTAGGGTTGGGCTCTGCTAAAGGGATCCAGCTCACCTGGATCACCTCACCCAATATGGCTGGGCCATAGGCTGCAAGAAACTTGCTGCTCAGCTTTCTACACTGGAAGGGTTATCAAGCCTTGGCACAGGCTGCCCAGGGCAGTGGTGGAGTCACCATCCCTGGAGGTATTTAAAAGCCGGGCAGACGTAGTGCTGAGGGACATGGGTCAGTGATGGGTTTTGTCAGAGTTGGGTTGATGGTTGGACTCGATGATCTGAAAGGTCTCTTCCAACCTGGGCAATTCTATGGTTCTGTGATTCCCTTTCAGGGTTGGGGTGAAAAATGGAATCTCCAGATCCAAACCAGAACATGTTCATGTTATCACAGATAAAGTAAAATGTTTTTAGCAAAGACAATGAGCTGTCACCTATATGCCACACTACAATAGATGTAATGAACTAAGACATAAATAAACATGTGGGTGGCTTTTTTGTGTTCAGACTTTAATAAGATTTTAATACACTGTGTGCATATGGTGAAAGGTAAGTCAGAGGTGCAATCCACAATAAAAAGACTGTGGTATCCGTGTTCAATAACAACAACTCAGCCAACCTTATTTTAAACATTTAACTGAGGTGAACTCTGGCAGTGGGTTTTACTGACTCCAGAGGGAGCTCAGCACAGTTTGGTGGGGTCAATATGGGGTGGGCTCTCAGCAAGTATATTTTATAACATCTGGAGCCTGATGTCTAAACAAAGAAAAGACAAGGATATACCTGAGTGTGAGCAGCACTCTTCTTCTTGGGTACTTCTCCTCAGGTACCCCTCGCACTCCCGGCGCCCTAGAGCTCTCAGGACAGGAGCTGTTTCCAAACTCGGAGCAATCAGTCAAATCCCTGGAGATATTTGGAGAAAGCATCATCCATCCTTTATTTGATTTTTTCCACTGGAGATGCGGTTCCACAGGGCAGATTTAATTTTCACGAGTTTCCCAAAGTTTTCAAATCCTAAAGTGAGAATACAAGAGAAAGGAAGTCAAGAGCAGGAATTAAATTACTGAGTGAAAGGCGGTAATTCAGAGGCAAACTTTTCTTTGGCTAAAATAAGCACCAGCTGCAACCCATTGTTTTTCTGAAATGGTACATGAAATCTGGTAACTGGAAGCTATTATCAAATGCATTGCAAATAATAGTTAAAACAAAGCAGATGAAAGTAAACTTAATTACCTCTTAAATTAACTGAATTACATGATACCATCGATTCTATTTTGTGCATTGTATTGCCCCTGCAACATTTTGTAAGATATGGCTCTTCTATTTTATATACATCATAATGTTAGTAATTATTAAGTGGTAGAAGAAAAAAGATGCATAGACAAAGAAATCCCCCAAATTCACTTCAGTCTGTAAATATTGTATGTATTTGCCTCTTTGATCTTAGAATGTTGGTCTTTTTTCTGTAGCAGAAATGTTATCCCAGGTCTCACACTTTACCTTTCTCAGAGATCTCAGTTAATGAGCTATTCACCTAAATGCTCATCTGAAGAGTCCCAAATCAGCTGCCAAAATCCCCTTCTCCAAATTATCCCTGATGCTAAACTCACCTGCTGTGGATTAGGAAGCAGTAGCAGTGAACACATCTGATGGAAATCTGTTGCAAAATGGGTATGATAAGAAATAATTCTTCTCTTTCCCTACACATACACTTGTTTTCTGTCATTGTAATTCCCCCAACTGAAAGGGAGGGGAGATAGGTCGGGTCTTGTCTCCTGTAATCAGCTGTGGTCCAGCTGTAATTGTTATAAATAAATACACTTGTGAATATTTTCAAGGGTCAGAAAATTCCCTTTGTCTATCTGGGGAGAACCAGACGCATTTCTGCCACCTCTTTTCCTTATCACCTGTTTGGGGTAAGAAGCATGTTTAAAAATAAAAGCAGAAAGAAATATTCTTCTCTGCAGCAATTCAACTCATTAAAAGGAACTCGGGAAGCAGGTTGGTCCACTGACTTTTTCCAATAGGTATCATCCTGAAATGACAAAAAATACAGAAACAGAGCATCAAAAGATTAAAAAGAATGCTTGGAAGTTAGTTTTATAGGCTAAGCCTTGCTGCATCGTTTGTTTTAGTAATACCTCCAACAGATTCTTTCAGTTGGCTTTTTTCTGTCCTGTTATTGTCCTGCCAAACTGCAATGTCTGGAAAAGGCAGACCCACTTTGTAACTTGACTAATGAAAGGTGGGAATTTATTTTTGCTTTTATGACATTACATTTAAATCCCAGGAGATTCTGAGTTAAAAGATATATATATCATTTAGAGGCCTACACCAACAGGAGATAAACAAACCCAAGTGTCTGCATTCCCAAGAGTATTATTTTTGTTTGTTCCATGAAGTCATTTACCCTCATCTATAGGGGAGCTATTTTGGTGACTCAAGGCAGATAAAAGTCCTATCAAGAAGAGTCTTTGAAAGGATAGGCTAAAGGAAAAGGTGAAGGGAAGATGTTCTGGTTTTTATCTTTTTTAGCGGCCAATATATTCTATCTTTCACATTTTTTAGTCATTACCATTTCTAATGAAATTTGCCAATGAAGTATTTAATCAACTTGAAGAATATTAGTGTCTTAATATTACTATTAAGGGGCAGAAAAAGCACTTTCTGTCTTGCTGGTTGTATATGCAGCTTTCACAATTATGTGAAGGACAGAAAATCTTCCCCATACAGCACAGGAATGGGCAAAAAGAAGTGTTACTTTAGGTCAACCTATTCTTTATTTAAAAAATAAAAATGGGAAAAATAGCACTTATTTTCTTACAAAAGGAAAGAAGACAAAATGAATTCACTATTAATGTGAAGAAATTGAGTCCTCTGAGGTCAGAGGTGGATGTTCAAGCTTAATGCTGACCCTTATGCAGGTGTATGAAAGATGTATTACAAATCCAAGGGTAATTCAGCGAAGACTGGATTTTTATGGAATACCATATACCGTATACCATATGTCATAAGAACAGGGGTTTTAATATAAAATAAGGGGGGAAAAAAAGGTACATTTAAGGGTTTGTATCTTTACGGCAGTTGCTTTAAAGGAAATTTTACAGAAATTTTCTTTTGGAAATAAAATGCACATCTCTGGGATTATCTACAACAGAATCATTTACAGACTCCAAAAATAGTAAAAATTTGTTACTGTCTCCAGCAGAAATATGTTACCTTTGAGACCTGTCAGTATTTTTGAGACAGCCATATTTAGTAACTTGATTTTTAAGTAATGGAGAGATATGCAAGCTCCACACAGATGATCCTTTTTAAAAAGAAGTTACTAAAGCATGGAGAATTTTCCATGGAGAAATCTGTGGCGAAGAAATTATCTTACATTTAAAACATGAATAAATCTGTGGATAGGGGCCACACTTCAAAAAACATTACCTTCAGAAAGCAGCAGCCCATGTGCCTCACCATTGGTCCTCCTTCAGCACGGGACAGAAGATGGGATGGGGGAAGGGTTTGACACCTCACCTCTTGGAACAAAAGCTGATAACAAATGTTCAGGAACAGAAGCCTTTCCAAAGGAAACGGTTTAACTGGGTTAAAGCAAGACCACAGAAAGGACCTGAGAAATTGTCTTTGAGAATGTCATATGAGGCACTGCTGTACTACAAAAGGCAGTGTGGAGAGAAAATTGTTGTAGTCATCATTTTCACTGCTAAAACAGTTTGGTTTTATTACAGCCGAGGAGTTTCCTTCATGTTGCACCTCACCATTTCCAAGTGGTTCTTAATTATTGATTATTACAGCCGAGGAGTTTCCTTCATGCTGCACCTCATCATTTCCATGTGGTTCTTAATTATTGATTGGAGAGAACTATTTGGTTACTTATTACTAACCCCTCTTATTCCTCTGGGCTGGCTTCAGTAAAGCAGAAATCACAGCAATACAGAGCAAAGGATGAGCTCAAAATTTTCTCAAATAATCACAGAAGCACAGAATGACATTGGTTTGGAAGGGACCTCTGGAGATCATCCAGTCCAACCCCCTGCCAGAGCAGGTCCACCCAGAGCAGGTCCCACAGGAACGTGTCCAGGGGGGTTTGAATGTCTCCAGAGAAGGAGACTCCACCACCTCTCTGGGCAGCCTGGGCTCTGCCAGGGCTCTGCCACCCTCACAGGAAAGAAGTTCCTCCTCATGTTTAGGTGGAACTTCTTATATTCAAGTCTGTGCCTGTTCCCTCTTGTCTTGTCCCTGGACACCACTGAAAAAAGCCTGGCCCCATCCTCCTGACACCCACCCTTTCAGTATTTATAGGTGTTGATCAGATCCCCCCTCAGCCTTCTCTTCTCCAGACTAACAAGGCCCAAGTCCCTCAGCCTTTCCTCATCAGAGAGATGTTCTAGGCCATAAATAATTGGTTTTCTCCTGTTGGTAACTGAGGAAGTCCAAGGGGTATAGGATGCACTCTGTTTTCACTGATTTCTCTTTAAATGGCAGATATTCTGTCAGTACTCGGTGTTTGAGGAGGCTGACCTTTCCTATAGCTGTGGGAAATAAGAAGCCCAGACACTGAAGAGTGGGTTGTGGAGCTCCCACTGCCTAAGATACCTCTGGATCCGGTCTCTTAGCAAATGAATTTGTTTTACAAAGGCTATTGCATCGTCATCACATAGAAACATTTTTTTAATTACCCGTGCAGTTGGTTGGACTTAAAGTGGCAGCATGAAAGTGAAAAGATCTTATTAAAAAACCTACAAAGTAGGAAATTAAATTTGGTTGGAAAAAATCTAGTTACGCAAGTCTACGTAGCATTATGCAAGACTCAGTGTATATTATGGGAATTACATTTCATAGAATCACAGAACCACAGAACGGTTGAGGTTGGGAGGTTAAACTCTGCTCCATCATCCAGGTCATTAATGAAGATGTTGAACAGGACTGGATGCAGTATTAACCCCTGGGGTACACCACTCATTGCTGGCCTCCAATTAGACTTTGTGCCAATGACCACCAGCCTCTGGGCCTGGCCCTTCTGCCAGTTTTGAATTAACTTCCCTGTCTCCTCATCCAGTCCATACTTCATTACCTTCTCTATGAAGATCTTACGGGAGATGGTGTTGAAAGCCCTACTGAAGTCTAGGTCGACAATAACCAGTGCTCTCCCATCCTCTACCAGCCCAGTCATTTCATCGTAGAAGTTTATAAAATCTAGGCTATGTCTAATGGAAACTGAGTCATCAAAAAGTGCTTATAGAGAGACATAGTCCTCTTCTGAGTTACATCTTTACGTGCAGTAGTGTAGAAGTAGTGTTGTAGATATCTAAGATGCTCTGAAAAACTAAAGTTAAAGACTTTTGTAGACCACTAAGTGTCTTATGTTTGAATGTATCTGGCATTAGAACTAGTATCTGGTTGGGACTCGATGATCTTTAAGGCCCCTTCTAACCCCAACCCTTCCATGATTCTATTTTCTTCTTCTCTGAATGGCTGTTAATGTACAGTAAAGGACAGTTTGCTCACAACCCGGATGAGTTAATGATTTAAGGAAAGCCATGCACTCTGCAATATTTACACAGTTTGAGAGCTCAATTTTTCTATTTGAACACCACACTAATGTATTTTTTTTTATCTAGCTGTTAAAATACTCCATTTTGGAGCGAGATTTTCCTTGTGAGGCTTCTAGAAGGGTCCTGCCTGGAGAGCTGGTGCTCCTCCTCCTCCCCCCTCCTGCTGCATCTAGTGACTGAGGGGCAGAGACCAGGAGGCTTGGCCTCAGGTGGGACCACCGTGCATGAGACACAGAATCAGAATCACAGAATCTTCTAGGTTGGAAGGGACCTTAAAGATCATCTTGTCCAACCGTCAACCTGACTGACAAAAATAGACACCCACACAACAAACAAGGAGCATCACCATCACTAAACCAGACCTCCCAGCACTACATCAACCTGTCTTTTGAACACCTCCAGGGATGGTGCCTCAACCACCTCCCTGGGCAGCCCATTCCAATGGCTGAGAACCCTTTCAGTGAAAAAATTTTTCCTAATATCCAGCCTGAACCTCCCCTGGAGCAACTTGAGGCCATTTCCTCTTGTCCTGTCGCCTGTGACTTGAGAAAAGAGACCGACCCCCACCTCTCTACACCCTCCTTTCAGGTAGTTGTAGAGAGCAATAAGGTCTCCCCTCAGCCTCCTCTTCTCCAGGCTGAATAACCCCAGCTCCCTCAGCCTCTCCTCATAAGACTTGTAGCCACCATAGCAGGTGGCTACAGGTGGCCACAGGCTGCAGCACCGTGTTGGAGCCACCAAAGCAGGAGCGACAGACACTAAACAGAGGGGAAAAGTGCAGGTCTGGGACTTTGAAATCTGCTGTCGGTGTCATACAATGCATGAGAGGAAGGTGACATTGCAAAATGTGGTCACTGGTGGCAAAACGAACAGACGTGGGTCTACCAGTGACACAGATCCTTCCATCATGCTGGAGTAATCACTTGGCTCAAGTTTTCAGGGAAGTTAAAACATATGAAATCACCCACTGGAAACCCATGTGTTCTGGAAAACAAATGTGGCCATCTGGGAAGTGTTTAATAAGGTCACTAATTAAATGTGTTGATAAGGAACTTAACAATACCCTTTGCATTTCATTTACAGGATGACACTTGGAGATCGCCATCACGTACATTTTGCTTCACCAGACCTAACTCATAATCTGATCAGACAACAGCACAAGGGATTTTTCTTGTGGTCTCCTAATTTAGCAAAACCTTGGGTTCAAATAGGGACCCTGTGGCCTCATTAACACGTCTCATTTGTACATCTCCGCAGTCAGAAATAATTTTGAGCTGTCTGTGATTAGAGATGATGAGAGAAAGTAACTTGGGACTTGATTAAAGTTGCTCTGCCGGGGAAGACACTCTGTAAACAGAAGGCAAGGAGGCTCTTTGGGGAAGAGCCACCTTTAGGTAATAGGACACTAGAGGAAAAAAGTTATTTCTAAACTTTTTGAGCTGTGCCATACACAAAGCTGACTTATACTTGTAGGTTATTAAGAACAAGGAGAACTTCCTTCTAGGTGTGGATGAAGGTCATCAGCAGTCTGTGTGTGGAAGGCCTTCGTTACTTCTGCAGAGAACAGATGTTGGTGACAAGTTGGGTTGCCCAGAGAAGCTGTGGCTGCCCCATCCCTGGAGGGGTTCAAGGCCAGGCTGGATGGGGCTTGGAGCAACCTGGTCTGGTGGGAGGTGTCCCTGCCCAGGGCACTGGATGGTCTTTAAGGTCCCTTCCAACCCAAACCATTCTATGATTCTGTGATTTCAGCTAGACTAGCTTGCAGGAGAGTTGCTGGTCTATACAGTGAAAATTTCTTCTTCTGCTATTTCCCTTTATGCTAAATAGATTCTTCACTGTGAGGGTGGTGGAGCACTGGAACAGGTTGCCCAGGGAGGTGGTTGAGGCCCCATCCCTGGAGATATTCAATGAGAGGCTCGACAAGGCCCTGGGCAACCTGGTCTAGTTGGGGGTGTCCCTGCTGACTGCGGGGAGGTCAGACTAGATGGCATTTGGAGGTCCCTTCCAGCCTGGGCAATTCTATGATTCTATGATTGTGGTGATCTTGTGCAGCCACGATGCTGGGATGACCCCTCTACTGGTTTTGGCTGGGATAGGGTTAATTTTCTTCATAGTAGCTTGTGTGGGGCTACGTTCTGGATTTATGGTGATTGTCTTCCCAAGTTACCATTGTGCATGGTAGAGCCCTGCTTTCCTGGAAACAGCTGAAGATCTGCTTGCAGATGGGAAGTAGTGATGAGTTCCTTAATTTGATTTGCTTGTGCCCGCAGCTTTGCTTTGCCTATTAACTGTCTGTATCTCAACCCACCAGTTTTCTCAGTTTTACCCTTTCAATTCTCTCCCCCAGACTGAGCAAGGGACTGTGTGGGGCTGAGCTGCCTCCTGGAGATGCCTCAAGAGGATCTCCTCAGGATGACCTGCTGGATGCTGACAATTTTTGACCTGCTTCCCTCCTGACGTGCTCTAGGGCAGGACAAAGGGGAACTGCATGTGTGCCTCTGGGACTTCACAATCCACAGTCCCACCACCATCTCCCAGCTGCAACTATTCAGGCAAACCTTCAGTAGTATCTCCATGGATCACCTCCTAGATCCAAAAATCTAATTTCAGGCCTCTTGCTAGTCCTGAGAAGACATCTAACTGCTAGTTCCAGAATACTGGCCTTTGACCCAAGCATTTTTGGAGTGCCAGGATCATCTCAAGGGAATTACCCATTAATTTATCAGAAAGATAGATATTTTTTATCTTAACTTACTTTATTTCTGTGAGATAAAGTATTAAAGTTGCCACGTTTTCACTCACAAGGGATACCTTCCACAGCACAAGGTGGCGTTTTGTTCGGTTTTAGGTCATTTTGGAGAGTGCAAACTTACAATGAAACGGTAAAAGAGACAGTCTCAGATCCTCATGTTTTTCTCTGCTGAAATGTCGCATCATTCAGCTTTTATGCTCTACAGCAGAGAATGTTTCATTGCTCTACAACACACAGAAAAGGAAGAGGAGATCCACGTATGATGTGCACTTACACAAACAACATCAACAGAGGGCATAATTTGCTGCTGAGCATTGCTCTTCAGGACAGAGTCATCAGTTTCTCTCCGTGGTCCCTTCTCAGGTCATAATCCTCTCCTGTCCATCCCCAGGACTGGTCCTTCATAGTCCAACCAGATGTCACAGCCTCAGGTCAGAGGTGTTATCTCCTTCTGCTTGGTGATAAGTTGACTCTAGAAAAGCCAGGTCATAGATTTAAAAAATGACAGTCTGTGGGTCTTCTTCACCAAGTGTTAGTCTTTGACTTACTTGCCAGTCCTTCCTTCTCCCATCTGGATGTCCACAGATGTAACCTTGACAGCCATCACCCCAAACCATCCCTGTAGCCCTTCTTCTGCCACTTCTGGTGCTTTCCACGTCCATCCTGTCCCATTCACCTTCCATTCAGCCCAACCGTAGCTTTTCTTCACAACTCTCGACCCACTTTCCTCACCAGCTGTCTCAGCACTGCCATCAGACCAAATAACAGTATGTCCAAGCTAGAAAAAAAGTTCTGCCAGATGCAAATTGGCAAATATTGTACATAGAAACATTCATTAGACAAATTGTACATAGAAACATTCATTAGACAAGCATCATTTTCTGGCATTTTCGGTTCGATGTTGCTTTTCACTGTTGCTTTTCATTCCAAACATTGTATTTACCTTGTCTTTGATCTCGTTAAACGTGCTTTTGATCTCACCAAGCAGAAAAGCATTGAAGTGACAAACTCCTAAGCGACAAGCACCAGCTGAAATGGAAAAAAAAGGAGCAACACAACTTTTCTCTCCCATTGTCCCTCCATGGAGCGTGCTGGTTGGGCTGGTTCCATGCCTGCTTTGACCTCCGCACACGTACTGGAGGGGAGGGACAAAACTTAAAAGCTTTGGGTTGTTACTCAAAGATGTCTAGAAATGCAAAAGGAAAGGCTTTTCTGCTCTTTCTGGAGGACAATAAATACGCATAAATATTTTAATGTAAACACCCCTTGTTCATGAAATTAATTGGAATAATTTCTTAATGATTAAGAGCAGAGATATAATCTGCTGTAAATTTTATTAAAGTCTTGCTCTCCCATGCATTGCATATAAATAGCTCCAACCAAAACACCACATCTAATTCCCCATCTGGGATGAAAGACGATGTAAAGCGCAATAGTTGCTTATATGCTTGAACCAGTTTTGGTAAATGAGCAAACAAATAGGTGTTTCCTTCATTTTCAGCTCTTACATCTGGACATTCAACCTCCAGACAAAAAAATTCAAAGCCACAAACACAATCCTTTAAAGCAAGTTACTCTAAAAACAAATGAGTCCTGGAAGAGTCCTGTTGAAAAACTCTTCCAAACAGAATCATCTTTAATGCCCTGCGAAACCACATGTAAAAAAATGCATAAACAATTGGGTTAAATGTAGAATTTAAATACCCAAACCAAACCAAAGCATCAATGAGAATGGGGGGTGTCACATAATTCATAAATGGGTTGGTCGCTGTAAAGAAGAAGAACGGACTCCAGCAAATGAGAAACACTCCTATTATGATGCCCAACGTCTTGGCAGCTTTCCTTTCTCTGCAGAATGAAATGTGGTGCTTCGTTTCAAATCCCATCTTTTTTTGGCTGATGGCATCAATGGATCTCGCCTGCCTCTTGGCCACAGAGTATATCCTCCTGTAGATGTACAGCATAACAAATCCAGGGATGTAAAAAGACACCAGGGAGGCCACAACGCCTGAAGTTCCACTAAAAAAGACAAGGCATCCTCCCGCACAGTGGATATTGGTATAAATGTCTTCTGCCCCTCGCAGGTTTAGGTCTAGAAAGATCATCCCAAAAGCAAAAGCAGCAGGGACCGTCCAGCTTATGACTATCATCACCAGGATCAGGCGAGTGTTTATCTTGGATTTGTACCTCAGAGGGTGACACACAGCGTAGTAGCGGTCGACGGAGATGAAGGAAAGGTGGAAGATGGAAGCCGTGCTCAGCATGATGTCCACGCTGGTGTGGATCTTGCAGAAGAGCTCCCCAAAATACCAGCAGTGCTCGACGGAGCGCACCATGCTGCAGGGCATGACCAGGAGCCCCAGCAGAAAGTCCACCGTAGCCATTGAAAGTATCAGGAAGTTGGTGGGCGTGTGGAGCTGCTTGAAATGAGATATGGAGATGATAACCGTCAAGTTTCCGGCCACTGTGGCCACAATAATGCCAGCCATGAAGAGGTACATGGGAACACGGATGCTGTTGGACCAGCTGCTCCTTATGCAAGAGCCGTTTAGGGATTCGCAGCACAGTTGCATCCTTACTGAGGTCTCAGATCCAGGAAGGGACACGGCACAGGGACTTGTTTTTCCTAATTCCGAGGTGCATTTACAACTGGTTTTGTCTTCTCTCTACAGGGAGAGCTGCAGGGAGGGGGAAAAAAGGGGTAATTGTAACCACCCTCATTTATTTGGATGTGTAAGAAATTCACTTTTCGTGATTTACGAAGGATTAAACTATTTTGTAACTATACTTTTAACAGAATGACACTTCTATCATTTAGATACTAGGAAGAAATTCTTTACAGTGAGGGTGGTGAGGCACTGGAACAGGTTGCCCAGGGAGGTCATGGATGCCCCATCACTGGAGGGGTTCAAGGCCAGGCTGGATGACTATTTGAGCAACCTGGTCTAGTGGGAGGTGTCCCTGCCCATGGCAGGGGGGTTGGAACTGGATGATCTTTAAGATCCCTTCCAACCCAAACCATTCTATGATTCTATGATTCTATGATTTGACTTCCCTTGAAATGGGGGGACATGAAATGAACTGGACAATGGGGTGTCCTCATGACCAGAAGAGCTGTGGCTCCCAGACACCTGCACGGGGCAATGTCTTGTACAGTGGGAAGATGAGCAGTCCTTTTCCTTATTTTCTGTTTGAACAGTCATCTTCAAAATTGGTCAGAGTCCTGTATCTCTCACTTTGCTCTTAAAAATCAGTAATTATAGATTCTGAAGCTCCCTCAACTTTTTTTATTTTTGATACAGAGGTCTAAGTTCTATGAGCTTAAAACAGATGGCTGAAGCATACTTTTAACAGAATGACACTTCTATCATTAGATTTCCCTTGAAATGGGAATCTCATTTGATGAAATGAACTGGGCAATGGGGTGTCCTCATGACCAGAACAGCAGTGGCTCCCAGACACCTGCACAGAGCAATGTCTTGTACAGTTTTTTCTGTTATTTTCTGTTTGAGCAGTCTTCTTCAAAATTGGTTGGAGTCCTGTATCTCTCACTATGCTCTTAAAAATCAGTAATTATAGATAGTGATTATAGATTTTTTTTGATACAGAGGTCTAAGATCTATAAGTTTAAAACAGATGGCTGAAGATGAGGAACCCACGCTCAGCATCTCCTCCAGCCCCAGCATCTCCTCCAGCCCCAGTATCTCCTCCAGCCCCATCCTGAGAGCAAGGAACCCACGCTCAGCATCTCCTCCAGCCCCATCCTGAGAGCCAGAACTGAACCCTGGTGGCACTGCCTGACCACATCAAGTCTTACTGCAACATTCTTGTAGGCTCTGGCTGTAAATAGAGATGGAAAGAGAAGATGTAAGAGGAGAAAAAGCTTTTCTGACCTTCTGCTGCCAACATACAATGGAAGATCCTGATTAATCTGAAGCACTAGCTGCTGTATAAGCAAACATATATTCTGTTGGGCCCTAGTTTATCTCAGTGCTCGTAGTTTAGTGTTGTTTTGTACGTTTATTATGTTAATACTTAGTTTAGCCAAAACAAAAACACAGAGGGAAACATTTTCTGAAGGTTGGTTTAGTCTGCAGCTGAGGACATAAATATTGGCTGTCCTCCCATGTGTGCCGCCACGAGTCTCTTTACAAAGGCATTTAATTAAAGTATTGAAGCACTTAGCAGGCAATATTTATTGTTGGAGGATCTGGTTTTCCTTTAACTAACAGAAAAACAGTATTATTGTGAAAAATAAAGAACATTAGTGTGCGTTATTCAGTAGCGTTATCCTTGTGGAATAATGTGGTTGCTTAAGTCAGGAAAAGCCAGTACTAATTTAACCCATTTGCTTCAGGATTTTGCTGCCTCTGGTTATTCTGGATAGAACACGACAGAATAATTAATTTTTTCTCGTATCGAAACAAATGTTATTTACAAGCACACCATGCTGTTAGAAGCTACATGGGAGCTGGATATGGATGATAAACTGTGGCTTGCAAAACCCCAGCAGCTACAAGTGCACACAAGGTGCATCCAGAGGCCATCTCTGGAGCACAGGACACAGTCTGAGTAGATTTATTTACTGTTTGGGGTGCCTCTTGCTTCCCCCTTTTCCTACCTACTAAGGTTTAACGCTATCTCTGCTCTTTTCCCCTTCATATATTTCACTTTTGGTCAATCTCTTCATTTCCTTTCCTGCCTGTCATTCCCTCTTTTGATTTATTTACACCTAGCCAGATGGATCCTCATTAACTCAAATGTTCAATTTTCACAGCAGGAAGAATTAAAAAAACAATTTAACTGTATATACTGGACATAATTATAAAAGTTTCAAGCTCACTCGGGTTATAAATGTGTTACAGATTTCAATCTTCATTTGTTTTGTGTGTAAGTAAATTAAACAAATACAAAGCCAAATACGAATTAAACAAATATGACAGATTTGTTTTGACAAAATTAAACAAATATGAAGCCAATCAAAAAGAATTAAGGTGCTATCTCTAGTTTTCTATCTAAAAGATGAACCACTTCCCTATTGTTCTCCGGCAGAGAAATTGTTTAGCCTAAAGAAACATGATCTCCTGTGAACACTCCCATTTAAAGTTTTTTTTTTAAATAAAAAAGAATCTTATTTTCAGGAGATTTTGTTTTTTCTGTTAAACAAAAAGAAGAAACCCCAACCACAATGTTGAGCAAACTGAGATTGAGTGGCTTTGCTTGAAATGGAAACAAAATAAATCAAAACTCAAGTGGCCAACTGCCCGCATGAGCTGAACACTGAAGAATCTTTCAACAAGAAAGGAGGAAGCTTGTCTTCAATAATTAATTACAAAGCTTAAAAATTCAATCAAATGGAAGTGGGGAGAAGCATCCTTTTAAAAAAATACCTTCCTACCTTTCTCCCCTCAGGCTGGGTCCGAGTCTGCTCTTGGTGCTCGTTTGTTTTCTGCTCATTGAGTGGCGCCGCTTCCTTTTGAAGACCATCTCAAAAGACAGCTGAGCCTCTTCACCATCACAACAGTTCTGGGTAACACAAATTTTGAGAGAAAAAGCACTTAATCCACTGCCAGAGCAGCTTCCAGCAGCCCCCAGCACCTTGCTGGAGGATGTTGGGTGCAAAGAGTAGTGTTCTTGGCCCTGCTTGCTGAGGAGCAGCTGTTGATGTGTATATTAGCTCAAAATGTTTGTTTTGTCACCCACTTAAGAACAAAATCACGTCTGTAACGGTCATATTTGTTTAACAGGCCTTATTTATAGGTGAATTGAACACATCTGAAGTGTGTTTACTTGTTTGATTAATCGTCGTGGTCACATTGGGAGCAGCCCACGATTATCTACATGTGGAACAAACCCCACCATGTAGTCTTCCTTCCATAAACTTCTAAAATACAGCAAAATACGTCAGTACAGGTAGGTTACAGCAGCATGTAAGGTTTCCTTGAAAAGGTCTATTGTGTACAGAGTGACAGGATGTGTATTTACCCATCTAGTTCTGATTATTCTACTGAACACACAGGTTTAATCCCACACTGTAATCAGTTAACAGCTATTTGTGAGATACCGCTACTAAAAAGGTGTTTAAAGTAAACACCTATTATTGGCTGTACTGGAGTCACAGATGAGGAGGATCAATTTTTTGCTCCACGGAGGACCACGCAGCCTTTGAAAACAGTGATACTGCTGAGCATAAAAGACTATTAGTACGGTGACCATCAGCTAAAGCCCAGTTCTGCTGGGTGCCTCAGGGACATAGGCAACAAGTTAGATTTAAATACTGATTCTTGCAAACTGTGCTGCATGGTCTGGGTTTTCTGCTTGATTATATCATAGAATCATAGAATTGTCCAGGTTGGAAGCCACCTTTCAGATCATCGAGTCCAACCATCAACCCAACGTGCACAAAAATCAAAATGAATGCAAACAACTCACTGCTTTTAGGTTTTCTTGAGGCTGCTCTCATAGAGAGATTGGGGTGTTGCAACGCAAGGGTCTCCTTGTTGTGAGAAGAGAGTTTGCCATCTAGAAAAAGTGGAGAAACAACCGTCAGGTTGAGTGAGAAAACACTGGAGAGAGTCAAGAGGATGTCAAGGAGAGGAGTCGGGTCCAACTGCCCAGAGTTGGGGAAAAGCCCAAGAGATGTTAGGCACCCAAATAGTGGTCTCTGAGGGAGATCTTTACTCTTTTTGAGATTCACAGCTGTGGGCTTTCCTTGGAGCCAGGCACTTCTCTGTGAGGAGAGAAGGTTTAGGTCTTGAACCTGCTCTGGCAGGAAGGTTGGACTAGATGATCTTCAGAGGCCCCTTCCAACCTGATCTGTGATAATTACCATCTTGACAAATACATTTTATAGGAAGGTAAAATTTAGGGGAACACATCCACGCTGCCTTACTCTGTACAAAATTCATAACCTCAGAGCACTTCTAAATAGTCACTGGCCAACAGTCTTTTGAGTCTGTCATACAGTAAAGCAGTTACACGTCAAAATTCAAAGTAAGACCTTGTCTAAAAAAATGTTTTTTAGAAAAAAAGCTGCAGCTTTTTTTTTTTCTGCAAAATTTATATTTAGTTTTCAAATTTTTGGAAAAAACAAGAAAAAGAGATGTTGTCACGCTGCCTAGCATACCTTGAATCATCTAGACTTCTTATTTGTTTGTTTTTAAAACACCAAATAATTAAAATGTGACAGTATAAATAAAATAATAAAAGGCAGGACAGCATTGACTTCTACTGTGATTTTTTTAGCTTGCATTTCAAAGGTGTAGTTTGGTCATTTGGCAGAAAATACAATTTTACAGTACCCATTAGACAGAGGAAACTCTCTCATTTTCATACAAGCTGCAGCTTTTTTTTTTTCTGCAAAATTTATATTTAGTTTTCAAATTTTTGGAAAAAACAAGAAAAAGAGATGTTGTCACGCTGCTTAGCATACCTTGAATCATCTAGACTTCTTATTTGTTTGTTTTTAAAACACCAAATAATTAAAATGTGACAGTATAAATAAAATAATAAAAGGCAGGACAGCATTGACTTCTACTGTGATTTTTTTAGCTTGCATTTCAAAGGTGTAGTTTGGTCAATTGGCAGAAAATACAATTTTACAGTATCCATTAGACAGAGGAAACTTTCTCATTTTCACACGGTTCATTTTAAAAACTGAGGCTCTGTGAAGGAAACTATGGATTTGAAACTACTGGAGGCTCTAAGGTGGCCCCATGGTCAGAGAGGAATTTTAAAAGCATGTAAGTCTACTCACCATTTATGAAGTCCTCAGGAAAAAACAAAGCACAGAATTACAAAAAATTATCTTCTTAAATTTCCATTCACATGTTTGAAATCTGAGGGGAAGATACACAATTTCCCAATGAGTTACTGGTTCAAGATAAATATTTCATTATATGGATTAAACGAGATGTGCCCTCCTTTCAATTTTTGCCAAGCTTTAGCAATTTCAGTTATCTTAAAAAAATTCATTGGTTTAAAAATTTTTATTTTATTTAAAAATATTTTATTTATTGGTTTAAAAATTGGTTTATGTTTAAAAAAAAACTCCTGATCTGAAGGCTATTTCTGCAAACCTGGTGCAATTCCACTGAAGGCAATCTGAAATCTTTAAAAAAAACCTCCTGATCTGAAGGCTATTGCTGCAAACCTGGTGCAATTCCACTGAAGACAATCTGAAATTAGCCCAGATTTACACCAGAGGAATTTAAAGAGGAACAGCTGAGATGATTGACCTCTAGACCTTTTCCCATGGTTTATATTCTTACTTTGCAGTGGAAACCATCACTTTTCCGTACCGAGGAAAATCAGTTGTTTATACAGAGTAACGTGATGTTTGTGCTCTCTCTCAAAGTGTCCTGCTCAGGATCAGGACTATCAAACCAAACCCCAGGATAGAAGCAAATCTCTGAAATTCACACAGGAATGAGAGATTCCAAGAAAATGATGTTTTTACAGCGAAGCAAAACACGTCCATCCACAAAGCCAAGAAACTATCTCTGCATGGGGTGGGGTGGGATGGGAGGGGGTGTCTATATTTGATAGCCCTGCTAAGTAATGCCAAAATGCAGTCCAGGCAGTGACCTCTGTGTCCCCTCCCAGTGCTCCCACGGGAGTGAATTTAGGACCATGACTGGTTTGTAGGTATTTGGTGGCCTCCAAACATCACCTCCAAGAGGAAGGTGCCCATGGAGGAGGAAGGAGGCAGCGAGCAGTTAAGCAGGCACCACCCCAGCTTCACCATTCTACCTCCTCCTGGCTCTGGACTAGCTTCCCAGAAAGTAAAGAGCCTTCCTCTCAATTCATAGCAAAAGAGTTTTGCCCCCCTAACTACGCTTTTCTTTCAGCTATTGGGAATAAATGACTTTTTTAAAATCATCCTCCCAGGCACCACCAAAAACCCATTGCTGGTGGTGTTCGCTACAGAAAAACAGCGATCCGTCCAGAATAACGACTTCTTATCTCCAGTGCCAGCCATAAAAGGCTCATCTTTAGAATCATAGAATCATTGAGGTTGGAAGAGACCCTTGGGATCATTGAGTCCAACCATCTCCCCTACTCTACAAAGTCCTCCCCTACACCATATCCCTTAGTACAGTACCGCATCTAAACGGCCCTTAAACACAGCCAGGGATGGTGACTCCACCCCCTCCCTGGGCAGCCTGTTCCAATGCCCGACCACTCTTTGGGTGAAAAATTCCTTCCTAATGTTCAATCTAAACCTCCCCTGTTGGAGCTTGAAGCCGTTCCCTCTCGTTCTGTCACTAATTACCTGTGAGAAGAGACCAGCACCAACCTCTCTACAGTGTCCTTTCAAGTAGTTGTAGAGAGAGCAATCTTTGAAGCAAAATAACTTCCCAGGCCAGCAGATCAGCAACTCACCTCATCTCAGAAGGCGTGACACGGGGATGGTACCTGCTGGGGAGTTATTTCTTCATCCCCAAGCGGGGCAGCCGGTGGGTACGGCCCCACAGCCACTGACATCCCACACAGATCCCAGGGCTCCGTCTGACTCCGGTTTCCAGCCAGCTGGAAAAAAATCTCATCGAGCCCATGACGTAAACACTAAATATTCAGAAAAGATAAGCAGATAATAAATCTGCTCTGACACAAGCCACTAGCGTTGGCAAAGACGAGCCCGTCTGAATTAAGTTAAAGCCAGGCTGGTGGAAAGAAACACAGAAAATAAAGACAAATGTTTATTACGGCCAAAGTACAGCTGAAGCGATCAGCACTGAACGATTTCTCCCCCTCCTTTTAATTTTTGCTGAGCTTTAGCAATTTCATTTATCTCTAAAAAATTTTATTTGGCTAGCCCAGACTGGATACTAAAAAAAAAAATAAATCCGAGCACAATGCTTCAGCTGAGTGGCTGAGAACAGGACCGATTAAAAAGATATTGTTTCCTCCTAATTAAAAAAAATCTGTTTGTCTTCTATTTATGATGCTCCGGGGCTTATACGCTTTGTAGAGGGGAGACTTAAGAGTTGTTGATTGCCTGTTTGTGTGTCTTTTACTGTACCAGGGGAACTATATGTAAATATGACCAAATTACAAAGCAGAAGTGCCCAAACTGCAACTTTTTGTTGCTTTTTAAAGCACAGCTCATTGGCCAGCACCTGCATCTTCAAAGGGTAAGAGTTTTTGTATCGCTATGGAACCCAAGGAGGAGAGTCCTTCCAGAAAGAAGTAATTACATGGAGGAGAACTGACCCACTTTGGGTCAGTTTGTGTTCATTGGTTGGTGGGCTGTGCTGGTGGAGAGCCATGTCATAGAATCATAGACACATAGACTGGTTTGGGTTGGGAGGGACCTTAAAGACCATCCAGTTCCAACTCTCCTGCCCTGGGCTGGGACACCTCCCACCAGACCAGGTTGCTCCAAGCCCCATCCAGCCTGGCCTTGAACCCCTCCAGGGATGGGGCAGACACAGCTGCTCTGGGCAGCTCCTGCTCCCCTGAGGTCCCTCTGAGCCCTGAGTGGGACCTACATGGCTTTGGGTGCAACTTTTCCCTGGGCATTTGGGATTGGGGTGGCTTTGGAAGATTGGAAAAGTATGGCCCTGGCAAGGTGACACAGGGGACATGGGGGTTAACAGGAGGGACAACCCTTGGTGAGATGAAAGTGAGATGAAATGAAAGTCTTGAAATGTCACATTCTGGTCTGGAAGGGTGGCTGGACAACCCTTGGTGAGATGAAAGTGAGATGAGATGAAATGTAAGTCTTGAAATGTCATATTCTGATGTGGAAGGGTAGCTACCCTAACTGGAAGCCACTGAAACCTAAAATTGCCAATAAAGGCTTATATGTCACTAAAATATCTGCTGAAACCTCCACCCTCACGTACCACTCTCTGTTGCCTTTCACAGACACTGGATTTGACTACAATAGGCACACGCTGCTTTCCTAGAGATACCCAACTAGCCTCATGGCTTCCAGTTGCCCACTTGCAAGTCCAACAGGCTGCAGATGCCACTGTGGGCCATTTTTAAGAGTGAGTGACCTCCTGGTGTCAAAACCCTGCAAGCAGGGGCTGATGTCAACACAAACAAACAAAATAAAGTGCCCAGTGTAACATGAACGACTGGCTCAGAAAGTCTTGGGCAAAATAGCTGTTTAAACCTGTTGCTGGGTAGGGCTTATTGATCAAACTTGAGCTTTTTTTCTTTTTTATAGCTCTGGTCCTTATACACACAGCCATCTGATGCCCCTGACATCTGTTACGAGAGGCCCCAGACATGTATTTGTACCCAGATGGGCCAAAGCTTTCTGTCCTTCAGCCTCGCTACCAGGAAGTGCCTCATGGTCCATTAATGGCCACGTTTTAACAGCTTGCTCTTCCCTTTTATAGCTGAGCATCAGATAGGTTTGATTTCTACTGCTGAGGCAAGCATAATGGTTTTTTTCAAACAAGAAGCTTCCATTAATGAATTAAAATGCCCTTTCACAATTTCATTGTGTTAGCTATTACGGCCAACTCAGTGTAAGAACATCTCTGCAAAAACCAGAGAAGACAACTACTCAGTAGGGGATGGGAAGAAAATGAAACTTTATATATTTTTAATCAATTTTTGTAGTTTGTCAGCTGGATGACAAGTCAAGGTACTGGGGATTTTACAGGGGCAGTGCACCTAATTTCTGCCAGGGTGGGAGCTCTATGGATCACCGTCTCCATGAACTCTCCAGCCCTCCATGAAGGACACGCTGAAAAAAACTAAAGTAAAGGTGTTCCATTCAACTTAAGCATTTCTGAGTTCTTTCAGATAAAAATGAAATCAAAATGTGCTTGGTAAGATAAAAGAGGGGAGATTTAGATGAGATCTGAGGAAGAAATTCTTTGCTGTGAGGGTGGTGAGACACTGGAACAGGTTGCCCAGAGAAGCTGTGGCTGCCCCATCCCTGGAGGGGTTCAAGGCCAGGCTGGATGGGGCTTGGAGCAACCTGGTCTGGTGGGAGGTGTCCCTGCCCAGGGCAGGGGGTTGGAACTGGATGATCTTTAGGGTCCCTTCCAACCCAACCCATTCTATGATTCTATGGTTCTGTGAAACGTGAGGTTTTGCCAACCCAAACCATTCTATGATACTATGGTTCTGTGAAATGTGAGGTTTTTTAATAAAGGCCAATTAGTTAGTTAGAAAAGAGAGAACGTTAGCTCATCTTAGGAAAAAAAAAAACAAAAACAGGCCTCTCCAACATTTTCCTTACAGGACGAGAACGTTAGCTCATCTTAGGAAAAAAAAACCAAAACAAAACCAGGCCTCTCCTACATTTTCCTTACAGGAGAGAATTAGAGTTTCTGGAAGAACAGGAGTGTTTAGTGACTCCAGAAGAGGTGTGCCAGAGAAGACTCAAATCAACTTCTATGTAATTCACGTCAATGACTCCACCCCAAAAGCTACGCCAGATGGTATCCCAATGAACCCCATCCTCTTCTGAGCTGGAAAAGCCTGCTTTTCACACGTCAATATTTCTTCCTTACACCTTGATGCCCGTCCAAGCAAACAAGACTCACCTGTCCATGCTGTTTCTGATCACAGAGAGAGAAAAACAAGGCCTTAATAGATTTTGTTGATGCGGGGTTTCAGGTGAAGGTAGAAAAATACTGCGTTAAAGCAAGTGTGATCCAAACCTTGCAGCTGACTTAAGTGACAACTTCAGGGAAACTAACACTGAGTAAAATCTAATGCACTTTATTGTACATATTAAATTACAGCAAGCAGACCTTGAGCAAAAGTAGACAGAATCTCAATAATCTAGTTTTGGTTTGGTTTTTTGTTTTGTTTTGATTTTTTTTTATGAGAGCAGGACACTACAGCCACGTCCTTGTACACATAATTTAGTCATCATAACCTCAATTTATCCATTAAATAATTGAACAGCAAGGTGCAGTCAGGGATTGTGCAACTATTAGACCCAGTAATACAATATTAAATGTTTATGAACTCAGGAGCTTGAATAAATTCTGAGTCTTTTGATACAGAGAGTTTAGGAAAGTTTAACCCGATGTGTAAAGATAACCCAAGTGATAATATACTGAATGTCTACAATGCTCTTCTGTTTGTGTCTCCTGACTCTATTCCTTGTTAGCTTCAGAAATATTTTTATGAATTCCACATGCATTTGGAGCGCATGAAATACTCAGGATATCAGCAACCTACAAAGGATTCGTGTGTTTCAAGCACCACTGGTGCATCTGTGAGGCATTTCCTTCCAATATGTCCCCTCATTCTTCTTTTTTTGTGTGTGAATTAGCACGTAAAGCTATAGATGCCAGCCAGTGAAAAAATCAAGTGCAATCAAGTGATTGCACTTGCAATCAAGTGATTTGACTGCAACAACAAAAACAGAAGTCAAATTATGTTCACATGACTCTCCAGTAGCACTTCCTCTTTTGTTTTTCCTTTTTCTTTTCCACATGAGTAATTCTAGGCCAAGTAATAAAAAGTATATTCTTTCTAATTTTAACCTGGCAATCCACATGGTATCTTTGGGGAAAAAGAAAGAAAATAATTTCTAATTAATGATTTCACGTGACAGAGCATTCACACTAAAAAAAAATTATTACACTGGCTCAAGCACAATTAAAAAAAAATATTCATCTAGGCATATACAACGGAGTGACGGCATTGCTTTCTCCTAAATAAACTCAACTGCCACGGCTGCAGGATTGCAGGAGAGGAACGACAGAGGAACAGTGCCAGGGCTCATGAGGAGGGGGAATCACTGCAGGGAACTCCCCTCTGGTCCATGGTGACCATGGGGAGACCCAAGGAGTTCCATCACGGGGAGGGTCGCAGAGGATGCCGGGGGTCCTTTTCATACAGCCTCCCAAAAAGCGTGGCTGTTAGGAGGGGTTTGGAGGTGCTGTGCTTGCTTTTCAAACGCCCATCACGTAGCACCTGGTTGGAAAGAGAAAGAAGGATATTAATATTCCACCAAGAGAGTAGCAAGACTGCACGCTATGGGAAGGATTAACGCCTTAGAGGTCAAATATTTTGGTGCAGCAATTTTAAAAAAAACAATCCTTGAGAATGAAAGAAACCACGGCTCTGCCATTTTCATGGACCTGAGGGTCTTTAAAACCTCCCTCAGCTCAATCTTTGGGGAAAAAAAAAAATAAAAGGTCACTTTTTGCCTCATAAAGAAGGTGAAAGTGACAATAACAGATCTGTTAGGTCAGATGAATTGTTAGTGACTCATACATGGCAGTGAAGGTTACAGATATATATCTAGGACAGTTATTTGAAATCTTCTTTGATTTGTGGACGCCAGAACAATTTCCAGATGGAAGCAGAGAATTTCAGGCTACTGGCCCTATGTTGCTTTTCATAGTTACTTTTTACAGATTAATTTGAAATCACTGTTGTTCACGGACTGCGAACACCTGAAACTTTATAAGCACCCCTGTGACAAACACTAAACATCTATTTGTTAAGAAAATACAATTTAAAAAATAATAAATTAGGCCATGACCATATTTGAGCATACCAATCAATCCTTTCATGTCTACGTTTTTACAGAAGCCCCATTCAAAACAAATAAGCAGGATGAGCGAAGCTTTTCCACTCTCTACCTTGTAAAAAAATCACCCTTGTTTCCCCTAGAACATTTCAAATCTTTTTCAGTGTCTTCGTTGTCTCTTGTAACCTATTTGATTCCTCTGCCAAATCAATTAAGATTACATCTAGTCTTTTACATAAACGTAATCTAAGGTTTATGAATTAAAACATCCTGTGGCAAAAATGAGCGCCAAGGTTTCAAATAAAAAAAAACCCCGAACCCTACAAACCCCTCAAATCCCACTTTTAACATTTTTAACATTTTTAAACATTTAACATGGGATCTCCGCGCTTATGCACGATACTCATCAGTATTTTTTCTTGGTTGGGCAATTTCTCAGAGCATTTGATTTCTTTGTTTCCTAAAACACCCATCAGCAGAAACCTGTAGAAAAATGTTCCTTGAAAGCTGCTATTTCTAGATTTGGGATGTGAAGTGGGAAGGCAGATTTACTAAAGAAAACACTGAAGAGCTTCTCAGCCTCAGCGTTTCTATGTTCTCCTCAGTAAGGATCAATTCAATCCCTCTCTTTAAATGTCCCCTTGAGTTACGGTCTGCAGAACCCAAGAAAGTGGTTCTTGGATGGGACTTTTCTGCCATATGGGCTTCCAGCACCAAAGAAGACCTGGAAGATCTTGTGTCACACAGTTCCCAGGTGCCCCGTTACCTCATACTCCCCGGGGGCCAGCTGCACCCCGCTGTACAAGACCTCAGGAAAGACGTAGTTGGTGCCAAACGTCCCGCTGAGGGAGAACATCTCAAACTTGGTCTGAGCTGTCTCCACCGGCTGCCCGCACGTCTTCAGGTCTGGGCTCTTGCACTTGAGCAGCGTGCATATCTGCAGGGAGGAGGAGACAGAAAGGCAAAATACCTCTAAAGCTTTCAACAACCAAGAGCTGGTTCTGATTACAAGAAAAGTTCTCATGATGCAGTAATGGACAAGTGTTTTGGTTTGGTTTGGGGATATTATCAATATCTCAGTACCAATATCTCATGGGTGGGTGTCAGGAGGATGAAGTCAGGCTCTTCTCAGTACTGCCAGGTGACAGGACAAGAGGGAATGGGCACAAGGTGGAACCCAGGAAGTTCCACCTAAAGATGAGGAGGAACTTCTTTCCTGTGAGGGTGGCAGAGCCCTGGAAGAGGCTGCCCAGAGAGGTGGTGGAGTCTCCTTCTCTGGAGACATTCCAAACCCGCCTGGACATGTTCCTGTGCAACCTGCTCTGGGTGGACCTGCTCTGGCAGGGGGTTGGACTAGATGATCTCCAAAAGTCCCTTCCAACCCTGACTCTTCTGTGATTCTATGGGTGTAGGCATATACAACCCACGCTCACCCCTACGAAACCAATTACCTGCCAGTGATATTTGATGAGAGAACCATGAAGCCCATCAAATGCACCCAGGACATAAACTTCATCTTGGCTCTCGTCTGACATCCGATAGACCAAATGACAGCAGAGCTCTCCTTGGCAAACCGTGGAATTTCCAGCTTTGCTCCTGAGCTCACTGAAAGTGAATACATCCCGCCGGACGGCTCCTGAAAAAGTGTTATTTTCTCCTGGAAACGTCTTGATGCTTGTGGCGTAGGAGCTCCAGTTGACAGCAGGGGGGTAGTTGGGGGAGAGACGGGGCCGTGCGCTCAGCTCTGCCAGAAGAAGACATCCCTTCTCTGTCCTGCTGTCGTAGTGGTAGGTGGCCGGTCCCTCTGGTGTGAAGAGCCCGCTGCCTGCCAAAGACACCCACCAGCCTTTTATCACCTTGGACCATGGCTTGGCATGGGGGCAACCACCCCCTGTGCCACACCACTGGGCTTTTCCAGGGATGCTATTTTCAGTCAACACCTTACGGAGAATTTTGGAAGAATTTTAAAACACAGAAGAGCTGAAATACCCGTCATGGCGTAAAAACGTGACCTAAACTTCACAGGTGAAACACGACCTAAACTTCACAGCTTTTGTACATCGCTGGATCTTGAATCGGAGCCTTAAATCACAATTTTGACCATCTCTCTTTTTTTAATAACTTAGGTTAATTTAAATATCAATCAGAGCTCTAAGCGTGGCATATTTACCAATGAAGGAAACGATGGGGTTAACTGCATTTTACAGAAGGAAACCCAGGGCTGTGGATTAAACTCAGCCCAGTCCATTTAAGACAGGCAAAAATGTTCCTTTGAGACTTTCATTTCTGCTTCGGGGAAGAGTTACAGATGCAGCTACAGCAACATTTTCTCAGTTCACATAAAAAAAGGCAGTAAATATCTATTCCCATCAAACCAAAATACAAATATTTCTAATTCTTGAGCAGCAACAAAAACCAGAAAATATTTTATTAAATATTCAACAGGAAACCTCCTTTTGGCTTTGGGTTATTAAGTTTTGTTTATAACATTTTTTTTCCCTCCATTTAATTTAGGATTGAATTCTAAACAAAAAAATGCTGCTTCTAAATAAGAGGCTGAAAATGTAAGTGAAACTGTGCCATTTTCTAAAGAAAATTTCACTTTCGAAATAGCAGAATTTAACGTCATACACTCTCCCCGAACATTTAACATTTCCTTGCCTGAAGCTGTTCAGCACAAATGTAAGTGAAACTGTGCCATTTTCTAAATTTTCACTTTCGAAACAGCAGAATTTAATGTCATACACTCTCCCTGAACATTTCACTGAATTTCACTGAATTTCACTGAATTTCTAGAGTTGGAAGGGACCATAGAGATCATCTAGTCCAACTCCCCTGCTGAAGCAGGATTGCCCAGAGCTAGAGCATGTTACTCAGGACTGCATCCAGGCGGGTTTTGAAAATCTCCAAGGAAGGGGACTCCACAACCTCCCTGGGCAGCCTGTTCCAGGGCTCTGTCACCCTCACCGTGAAGAAGTTTCTCCTCATATTTGAGTGGAACCTCTTATGTTCCAACTTGTGCCCGTTGCCCCTCGTCCTCTCACTGGGAACCACTGAAAAGAGTCTGGCTCCCTCCTCCTTCAACCCTCCCTTGAGATACTTGTAGGCGTTGATAAGGTCTCCCCTCAGCCTTCTCTTCTCCAGACTAAAGAGTCCCAGCTCTCTCAGTCTCTCCTCATAAGGGAGATGCTCCAATCCTTGAATCATCTTTGTAGCCCTACGCTGGACTCTTTCCAGTAGTTCCCTGTCCCTCTTGAACTGGGGAGCCCAGAACTGGACACAGTACTCCAGTTGTGGCCTCACCAGTGCAGAGTAGAGGGGGAGAATGACTTCCCTTGACCTGCTGGTTACACTCTTCCCTATACAACCCAAGATACCATTGGCCTTCCTGGCCGCAAGAGCACACTGTTTACTCATTGTCATTTTACTGTCCACCAGGACCCCTAGATCTTTCTCTTCAGTAGTTGCCTCTAGCGGGTCCACCCCTAACCTGTATTGGTGCCTGACATTTTTCTTCCCCAGGTGCAGGACCCTACACTTTTCCCTGTTTAACATTTCCTTGGCTGAAGCTGTTCAGCATCTTTGACAGGACAAGAGGGAATGGGCACAGACTTGAATATGAGAAGTTCCATCTAAACATGAGGAAGAACTTCTTTCTGTGAGGAACTTTCTTTCCTGTGAGGGTGGCAGAGCCCTGGCAGAGGCTGCCCAGAGAGGTGGTGGAGTCTCCTTCTCTGGAGACATTCAAACCCACCTGGACACGTTCCTGTGGGACCTGCTCTGGGTGGACCTGCTCTGGCAGGGGATTGGACTAGATGGTCTCCAGAGGTCCCTTCTGACCCCATGTGATTCTGTGATTCAATACAACACCAAGAATATTTTTAGTCTGAGGGAAACATCTGTGAAACGCTATTTGCCTGCTTCTGAATCCACTAGTCTGAAAATAACATCAATTTCCCCAAAAGCGACTCACCGGTCATTGCCCAGTTGATGTTGTGGGTATTTTCGCTGGGGCAGCTGGGGTCACTGGAGTTACAGGGCTTCTTGTCCCCCATGTTTGCCACCACATAGATGGAGTTATTCCTGGCCATGCAGCTGAGTCGCTCCTGCACTGGAGCTGGACCAAACCTGATGCATTTTTGGTGAGAGACAAAAAAAAAAATAAAAATCAAGAAATGTGATAAGTTTAACTTCAAATGTGGAAGAAATGCATTCAAAATTACTATTGTGGGAACCACTGAAAAGAGTCTGGCTCCCTCCTCCTTCAACCCTCCCTTGAGATACTTGTAGGCGTTGATAAGGTCTCCCCTCAGCCTTCTCTTCTCCAGACTAAAGAGTCCCAGCTCTCTCAGTCTCTCCTCATAAGGGAGATGCTCCAATCCTTGAATCATCTTTGTAGCCCTACGCTGGACTCTTTCCAGTAGTTCCCTGTCCCTCTTGAACTGGGGAGCCCAGAACTGGACACAGTACTCCAGTTGTGGCCTCACCAGTGCAGAGTAGAGGGGGAGAATGACTTCCCTTGACCTGCTGGTTACACTCTTCCCTATACAACCCAAGATACCATTGGCCTTCCTGGCCGCAAGAGCACACTGTTTACTCATTGTCATTTTACTGTCCACCAGGACCCCTAGATCTTTCTCTTCAGTAGTTGCCTCTAGCGGGTCCACCCCTAACCTGTATTGGTGCCTGACATTTTTCTTCCCCAGGTGCAGGACCCTACACTTTTCCCTGTTTAACATTTCCTTGGCTGAAGCTGTTCAGCATCTTTGACAGGACAAGAGGGAATGGGCACAGACTTGAATATGAGAAGTTCCATCTAAACATGAGGAAGAACTTCTTTCTGTGAGGAACTTTCTTTCCTGTGAGGGTGGCAGAGCCCTGGCAGAGGCTGCCCAGAGAGGTGGTGGAGTCTCCTTCTCTGGAGACATTCAAACCCACCTGGACACGTTCCTGTGGGACCTGCTCTGGGTGGACCTGCTCTGGCAGGGGATTGGACTAGATGGTCTCCAGAGGTCCCTTCTGACCCCATGTGATTCTGTGATTCAATACAACACCAAGAATATTTTTAGTCTGAGGGAAACATCTGTGAAACGCTATTTGCCTGCTTCTGAATCCACTAGTCTGAAAATAACATCAATTTCCCCAAAAGCGACTCACCGGTCATTGCCCAGTTGATGTTGTGGGTATTTGCCGACAGCAAATTGACGCCCATGCCCATGGCCCAGGCCGAGTGAAACTCAACCGCCGTCAGGAAGGGCAAGACGTTCATCCAAGCTGTTGGGAAGAGCACGGTGTCCACCTGCAGCTCGCTCACCAGGACCACGGCAGGCTCACGGAACAGGATGTCAAAGCAGGTGAAAATGCCAAACTTCCCAAAGGGGGTCTCAAAGGTGACCCTTTCCGGCTCTTTCGGGTAATTAAACTGAGTTTCTCCTCTGAAGAGGTTGTACTGCAGGTGAAGAAAATTGCATGTTTGAAACTAGAAATAAGGCAAGATTATCAACAGCTATTACCTCGCAGAGGCTTTAAGGCAGAGCTGGGGGTTGAGATACCCGAGCTGGATGGCACAGAGGGTTTGAACCCACCCAGAAGACCCTCTCCCCCTATAAAACAGGGTGGCTGAGCCCCCTCTGACTCCTGGAAGCAATGTCCAGCTATGGGCTTGGCTAAAACTGTGCTGAGGACCAGCTAGGATTTAATGAGTATGGAAAAGGCCAGGCTGGATGGGGCTTGGAGCAACCTGGTCTGGTGGGAGGTGTCCCTGCCCAGGGCAGGGGGGTTAGAACTGGATGATCTTTAAGGTCCCTTCCAACCCAAACCATTCTATGATTCTATGAAAAGTCTTTCACTGCTGCTTTCCCATTTACTATCATAAATACAGCCTGTAGGAATAACTCCTGATCAATCATGCCCATGCCTGCTCTTCCTTCTGGCCATTAGATCCTTGCATCAGATCATCCTTGACTGCTTGTTGCTCTATAATTATGTAAAATTATTGTATGAACCACCTAAAATTGGTGCCAGAGAGATGAAAAATATACTGATAATTGATAACAGGGTGATGCTGAGGTGCCTCTTTACCTTGTGGTAACGAGCCACCAGTTTCCCCTCGGGGTCGAAGACGACGTCGGTGTTGTACTGGTAGCGACCGTCGCTGGGGCAGCTGGGGTCACTGGAGTTACAGGGCTTCTTGTCCCCCATGTTTGCCACCACATAGATGGAGTTATTCCTGGCCATGCAGCTGAGTCGCTCCTGCACTGGAGCTGGACCAAACCTGATGCATTTTTGGTGAGAGACAAAAAAAAAAATAAAAATCAAGAAATGTGATAAGTTTAACTTCAAATGTGGAAGAAATGCATTCAAAATTACTATTCCACTAACTGCATATCATAGAATGGTTAGAGTTGGAAGGGACCTTAAAGACCATCCAGTTCCAACCCCCTGCCATGGGCAGGGACACCTCCCACCAGACCAGGTTGCTCCAAGCCCCATCCAGCCTGGCCTTGAACCCCTCCAGGGATGGGGCAGCCACAGCTTCTCTGGGCAACCTGTTCCAGTGTCTCACCACCCTCACAGCAAAGAAGTTCTTCTTAATATCTAATATATCTAATCACCCAGCCACATGAGCCGAGGACTCAATCTCCTTGCCTAATCTATTCATCCGACATAAAATTAGATTAGAATTACTGAAGATAATCACAATTGTTGTGAAGTGACAAAGTTTTACAAGTTTTAAAAATAATGATTTTGCCCCAAAGTCCCTCATTTTCCTCCTTTTGCAATTTTTAGAAGCGAGACTCTCTCAATGCTTTCTGCCTTGAATATTCTGATTTTCATTTGATTAAGAGTTCTTTTTGAGGCATTTCATGTCTACAGTACTTGGGAATTTTAAGAGATGTAAAAAGCAGCAGTTCTTAGGCATTTCCTGGGAGCAGTTCATGACTCCATGAAGTGCTAATTTGAAACCACATTAATTTGTATGGAAAGAATCACCTTGTGGGGTCGGTGCAGGGAATCCAGTTCACCCCCGGATCAGGGATGTCCTCCAGGTAGGGGTAGATGGCTTCTCTGGTGAAACGCCATCCGTAAATGCCATCTTCAGGAGTCACAATGATGTGGGCACCCTGACACAACAGGCTCCGTTAGGAATTCACCCATCAACAGACAACCAGGAGGGCCAGCGGGAGCAGAAAACACTAATTAACAAGGCTCCCCATACACCTAGTACCTGCTGGGAGGCTTCCTTGACGGCCCCTTCCAAGACATCCATGTTCTTGTTCATCAGGGCCAAAGCATCATCGGGAGACACGGGCTGTATGGTGGCATCTGGCAGGATGACGGCGTGCTCGTAGACGGCTGCAATGAAGGTGTCGGAGGCCAGGGCCTGAAGGACCACGAGGGCAAACACCACAGCAGGCAGGAGAGGCTGGGAAGGGAACATGGCTGGTGCCTTGAAGCTCCTGGGTCAGACACGGGGAATATAAACCAGAGAGAAAGGGAGGAGTAAAGTTTACTTTGGAAATAATCTTCTATTGAGTAATCTGGGAAGGTACGGTGCAGTTCTGCCAGCCATTAGAACATTTACTTACAGTAAGAAGTCAAAGAAACATTTCTAGGAATTGGACCTTGTTTCCAGTTTGAAATGTTAAAAATAAAAGGTGAACGAAAGGTTAAGAGAGGACATCAGAAGCGATGCTGGTCTACGAGGGGCTCCATGGAAGGAGCACTTGCTCACTCCAATTGTACAATCCCTCTCCAGGCTTCCAAACCTGTCTCGGGACAACCCTGGACTCCCCTGGTGAGGGCACCCTGCTCCATGTAACCTACATAAAACCCTGGTGCCAGGGGTTAAAAATTCAGCCGGTGCTGAAGACAGACCTCCTGTGGGAAGTGTAGCCCTCAGGCTTCAGAGTGTCCCTGGTCCATCTACACTCAGGGAACAGGAGATCCTGCTGCACCTCTTGCCTTTGGCCAATGGCTTCTTATAGTTGTAGCAGAGAGAATGCCCCAAGAATGTCCCCCATCCCGGGCTCACACTGAAATATAAACTAACCTTCAAACTGTCCTGGTCTCTTTGCCCAGAACAACATACTCATTTGTTTTGTGAGAAAGAGTTGAACAACACAGATTTTTAATATTTTTTGTTATGAAAAGCCATTTTTGCCCAAAAAGCAATTTGAAATTGCTCATACAAAGCAATCTTTTTTTTTCTTCTGGAAAGCAATTATTGCATAATATTTTGGAAATAACACATTGTTACTTTAATTTTAGGTGCTTCATAAAAAAACCCCAAAACTGTAGGGAAGCGTTCAAGGTCAGGCTGGATGGGGCTTGGAGCAACCTGGTCTGGTGGGAGGTGTCCCTGCCCAGGGCAGGGGGTTGGAACTCAATGATCTTTACCAGGCTAATCATATTTACTGCTGCATAAGAAATGAAGGAATATATTCTTCATCTGACAACATCTTCCTCTTCACTACGTAATTTCACCCAGAAGTCTTATTTTTGTCCATGAGCATCAAGTCCTACTTCGGAGCAACTGGCCCTGCAGTGTCCTCTGACAGGACCAGTCAAACACTGGAACAGGCTTCCGAGAGAGGTGGTTGATGCCCCGAGACTGTCGGTGTTTAGGAGGCATTTGGACAATGTCCTCAATAATGTGCTTTAACTTATTAAAGGATTAAGAAAAGGTCAGGAAGTGGGACTAGATGAACATTGTAGGTCCCTTCCAACTGAAAGTCAAGTCTAGTCTAGTCCAGTCTATTCTATTTGTCTTGAAACAGGACGTGGACCTGTCTTGAAGGACATGGACCTGTTGGAATGGGTCCAGAGGAGGCCACGAAGATGCTAAGAGGCCTGGAGCCCCTCTGCTGTGGGGACAGGCAGAGAGAGTTGGGGTTGTTCAGCCTGGAGAAAAGAAGCAAGAGCATGGGCTTCAGGAAGACCCATGTCTGTAGCCTGGAAGTCATTCAAGAGGTCAGGGACAAGCAAGGACAGGGGCCTTTAAAAGGGAAAGTCTTGCATAAAACCTGGGAATTCCCCAGACTGGGAAAAAGCTGACACCAGGGGATACAATCACCCTGCCCGGAAAGGCTCACAACATCAAAGCCAAGAGAGATACCAGCATTGAGCAATTCTACCTCACACCACAAGCAGAGAAGTCATGGGGAAGTGACCACCGTGCTGCAGCTGAAGAAACCCATCCCCTGCCAGACCTGGGGATGATCCGGGCATGGCATCGCTGTGGCAATTCCCACAGCAGGAAAACAAGCCAGAGTTTGGGAAATCTCAGCAAAGACAGACCAGCAGGGACACATTCTTGACCAAACTGGAGGTCACAGGGTGCAGGCAGGCCTTCAGGAGGCCAGACCCAAGCTCAGCTCAGCACTGGCTCAGAGCTGTGGGGCTTTGTGATGCTCCACATTGAGAGGGGGCTGTTTGTCTGAGCACACCCATCAGCACACTGTGCAGTCATGGAGCCCTGAAGATCTCAGGTCCCCCAAGGTCTCTGTCGAAAAGCATCATGAATGGGAGCCACAACTTCTAAATTTTGCCTGTTCCAACTTGCTTTCTTCCCTCTACAGATCAACCCACCTGAAATTTTGAAGCGAAGGCTGCACGTTCCCAAAAATCACTTGTATCTGGACGCCCGAGTTTCTTACCTTCTTTAGTTCTGACTTAGCTCTCCGGTAACGAAATGCTTTTTTTGTCACTTCCTGGAAGAAGCGTTTGTTGTTCTCAGTGGTTTCAGGCAGCCTTGTTTCTATGCAGGGCACGTGGGTATGCACATCCTGGACAACCCTGGACTCCCCTGGTGAGGGCACCCTGCTCCATGTAACCTACATAAAACCCTGGTGCCAGGGGTTAAAAATTCAGCCGGTGCTGAAGACAGACCTCCTGTGGGAAGTGTAGCCCTCAGGCTTCAGAGTGTCCCTGGTCCATCTACACTCAGGGAACAGGAGATCCTGCTGCACCTCTTGCCTTTGGCCAATGGCTTCTTATAGTTGTAGCAGAGAGAATGCCCCAAGAATGTCCCCCATCCCGGGCTCACACTGAAATATAAACTAACCTTCAAACTGTCCTGGTCTCTTTGCCCAGAACAACATACTCATTTGTTTTGTGAGAAAGAGTTGAACAACACAGATTTTTAATATTTTTTGTTATGAAAAGCCATTTTTGCCCAAAAAGCAATTTGAAATTGCTCATACAAAGCAATCTTTTTTTTTCTTCTGGAAAGCAATTATTGCATAATATTTTGGAAATAACACATTGTTACTTTAATTTTAGGTGCTTCATAAAAAAACCCCAAAACTGTAGGGAAGCGTTCAAGGTCAGGCTGGATGGGGCTTGGAGCAACCTGGTCTGGTGGGAGGTGTCCCTGCCCAGGGCAGGGGGTTGGAACTCAATGATCTTTACCAGGCTAATCATATTTACTGCTGCATAAGAAATGAAGGAATATATTCTTCATCTGACAACATCTTCCTCTTCACTACGTAATTTCACCCAGAAGTCTTATTTTTGTCCATGAGCATCAAGTCCTACTTCGGAGCAACTGGCCCTGCAGTGTCCTCTGACAGGACCAGTCAAACACTGGAACAGGCTTCCGAGAGAGGTGGTTGATGCCCCGAGACTGTCGGTGTTTAGGAGGCATTTGGACAATGTCCTCAATAATGTGCTTTAACTTATTAAAGGATTAAGAAAAGGTCAGGAAGTGGGACTAGATGAACATTGTAGGTCCCTTCCAACTGAAAGTCAAGTCTAGTCTAGTCCAGTCTATTCTATTTGTCTTGAAACAGGACGTGGACCTGTCTTGAAGGACATGGACCTGTTGGAATGGGTCCAGAGGAGGCCACGAAGATGCTAAGAGGCCTGGAGCCCCTCTGCTGTGGGGACAGGCAGAGAGAGTTGGGGTTGTTCAGCCTGGAGAAAAGAAGCAAGAGCATGGGCTTCAGGAAGACCCATGTCTGTAGCCTGGAAGTCATTCAAGAGGTCAGGGACAAGCAAGGACAGGGGCCTTTAAAAGGGAAAGTCTTGCATAAAACCTGGGAATTCCCCAGACTGGGAAAAAGCTGACACCAGGGGATACAATCACCCTGCCCGGAAAGGCTCACAACATCAAAGCCAAGAGAGATACCAGCATTGAGCAATTCTACCTCACACCACAAGCAGAGAAGTCATGGGGAAGTGACCACCGTGCTGCAGCTGAAGAAACCCATCCCCTGCCAGACCTGGGGATGATCCAGGCATGGCATCGCTGTGGCAATTCCCACAGCAGGAAAACAAGCCAGAGTTTGGGAAATCTCAGCAAAGACAGACCAGCAGGGACACATTCTTGACCAAACTGGAGGTCACAGGGTGCAGGCAGGGCTGCAGGAGGCCAGACCCAAGCTCAGCTCAGCACTGGCTCAGAGCTGTGGGGCTTTGTGATGCTCCACATTGAGAGGGGGCTGTTTGTCTGAGCACACCCATCAGCACACTGTGCAGTCATGGAGCCCTGAAGATCTCAGGTCCCCCAAGGTCTCTGTCGAAAAGCATCATGAATGGGAGCCACAACTTCTAAATTTTGCCTGTTCCAACTTGCTTTCTTCCCTCTACAGATCAACCCACCTGAAATTTTGAAGCGAAGGCTGCACGTTCCCAAAAATCACTTGTATCTGGACGCCCGAGTTTCTTACCTTCTTTAGTTCTGACTTAGCTCTCTGGTAACGAAATGCTTTTTTTGTCACTTCCTGGAAGAAGCGTTTGTTGTTCTCAGTGGTTTCAGGCAGCCTTGTTTCTATGCAGGGCACGTGGGTATGCACATCCTGGGCAGACGGGCACAGGGCTCCTTCCTGTCTGCTTGACTCACTTTGCAGAGTAACGCATTTCACAAGGCTAAATGTTACACAATCTTTGCAGCAAAAAGAATTTAGTGCCATGACAGCTCATGCCAGACTTCTACAGGAAAATACTCAATATACAAACATAGCTAGAACCATAGAATGGTTTGGGTTGGAAGGGACCTTAAAGATCATCCAGTCCCAACCCCCTGCCCTGGGCAGGGACACCTCCCACCAGACCAGGTTGCTCCAAGCCCCATCCAGCCTGGCCTTGAACCCCTCCAGGGATGGGGCAGCCACAGCTTCTCTGGGCAACCTGTTCCAGGGTCTCACCACCCTCACAGCAAAGAATTTCTTCCAGAGATCTCATCTAAATCTCCCCTCTTTCAGTTTAAAACTGTTACCCCCTGTCCTATGGCTCCCTTCCCTGATCCCTCCCCATCTCTCCTGGAGCCCCTTTAGGGACTGGAAGGGTCTCTAATGTCTCCCAGGAGCCTTCTCTTCTCCAGGCTGAACACCCCCATCTCTCTCAGCCTGTCCTCACAGCAGAGGTGCTTCAGCCTTCCCAGCATCTTTGTGGCCTTTTCTGTACCCATTCCAACAAGTCCATGTCCTTCCTCTGCTGAGGACTCCAGAGCTGGACACAGTGCTCCAGGTGGGGTCTCCCCAGAGCAGAGGGGTAGAATCACCTCTCTCGACCTTCTAAACCAGACAATGATAGATTTGAACAAAATCCGGAATTCAAGATACTCACCAGATTCAGGGTTGGGATCACATGCTACTTGCACACACGTTCCTTCAGTCACAAGACTGGTATCAGCAGCCAACAGACCTAAAGGAGCCACCTCTCAGCTCCGAGACTGGCCACACGCTGCTGCCAGATACCTTCTGCACTGCAAGGTGAGACCGTCTGGAGTGCCGTAACCTCCTTTAAATCCAGACACTTTCCCTTTGGACAGAGTTGCAGTGTCACCCACCACGTTCCTGAGGGACAAGCACAGTATCTGCACTGAGTTTGCACCCGTGGGAAGAAGCTCACACTGGATAATCCTTCTACTGTAACCAACTCCAACAGTGAACAAGGTTTTAAAGATGTTGAGCGATGTTGAGCTTCCATGAGTCAGGACACATCATCCGGGGCTTTTGATAAACATGTCATTATGTTGAGCGTGACACTGTGCTATGTCACACGTGAGTTTCTATTTACATTTGAAAGCAGAAGAGGTCACACAGTGCAGAGCAGTGACAATCAGCGCTGGAGTTGGGGTAGCATTTGCACCCCCAACTTCTCACCAGCTCCATAAGTGAAGCATAAGGGACTGAGGACCTTGAGAGCACCACGCTGAGACCAGGAACAGCGTGGGGAAAAGGAAGGAGGAATTTAACCACACCTGAAGACACAGCCACAGAACATCCACGTCTTTATAGGCTGAAGGAAGGTAAAGAGGTCCCAGCAGCAGCATTGAAGCACAGGTCACCAAGGGGGAAGAAGCAGCTTCTTGTGATGGGAAGATGTGAACTGTGCCTTTTCACCAGCAGTAACTGGTCTTAAGCAGAAATCTAAACCACCTCATTCCTACAGTAAATGAGTTTGCAGGGCAGCACTACCCAGCATTATCAGGAAGGAGCAAAAGATAAGGCTTATTTCATGTTAGATGACCAGAAAGACATAGAGAAGATAGGAGAAAGGAGCTGCCCTATGACACCAGGTCACTCGGTGACCTCTTTACTGGATGCAAACAGTTCCAGCTCACGGCAGGGGGGTTGGAACAAGATGATTTTTAAGGTTCCTTCCAACCCAAGCCATTCTATCACAATGACAGAATCTTCTAGGTTGGAAGGGACCTTAAAGATCATCTTGTCCAACCGTCAACCTAACAGACAAAAATAGACACCCACACAACAAACAAGGAGCATCACCATCACTAAACCATACCTCCCAGCACTACATCAACCTGTCTTTTGAACACCTCCAGGGATGGTGCCTCAACCACCTCCCTGGGCAGCCCATTCCAATGGCTGAGAACCCTTTCAGTGAAAAAATTTTTCCTAATATCCAGCCTGAACCTCCCCTGGGGCAACTTGAGGCCATTTCCTCTTGTCCTGTCGCCTGTGACTTGAGAAAAGAGACCGACCCCCATCTCTCTACCCCCTCCTTTCAGGGAGTTGTAGGGTGTAGATTCTACGAACAGCACTCGCCTGTGACTTGAGAAAAGAGACCGACCCCCATCTCTCTACACCCTCCTTTCAGGGAGTTGTAGGGTGTAGATTCTACGAACAGCACCCAGTGCACCCAGGGGTGTTGCTCAGAACTGGCGAGCAGAACATTTTGAGGTTTAGGTTCCAAGTTTTGGTTCAACAGAGAGATTTCAAAGAAATGCTGATTCGCATTGAGCTCTGACCATGAAGTGGTGGCAGGTTTTGTTTCAGAGTTGGCTCTTCTCACTCAGCCTCTAGGATTCTGTGCTGCCACGTGCCAAGCAACACGCAGCGATGGCATAAAGGCAACAAACCCAAAGCAACACAAATAGAGGGGAAAAAAAAAAAGAAGTGTAAGTGGGGTAAAAGAGCAGACTTGGGTAAGTCAGCAGAAGTAGTTGTCTATCAGAGACTGTGTGAGGCAGGACACAGGAACAACCACAAAACCATGGATTAAGGGCAAAGAACAAATTTAATGTCAATACCTCATGGATCGGGGAACCTCTGAAGCAGCACCCAGGCAGAGGCAGCAAGCAGGGGACACAGGCACTGCAGAGCAAGAGTCCTCATTAGCAAGAGAGTCCTCGTTAGCAAGGGAGTGAGGGAGCGAGAGAGCTCCCACGTGCTGTTTGGGGCTGTATTTCAAGGATTCTGGCAGGCAGTTTTCTGCTGGGCTTTGATCTCTCCAACAGCAGGGCAGGAATCCCAGGCGTGTTTGAGAAGGTGCCCCTGAGTCCATCCCAGGCCTGTGTTATCTGAGTGCAGATGTTCTACTTGTTGAGCACACAAAACTAAGCAACAATGAGTGTGATTGATATATGTGTTTCCCAGCACCCCACATGCGAGTCACTTGAGCGTATTTACAGTCCTCCTCCCCAGTCTTCCCTTCCTTTCCCACAGAGACAAAGCATTATTGAGTTTTTTTGTCTAGAGCTGCACTGAATCACATTTTTCACTGTTTTATTTAAAATGTGCAATGCTACGTTAATAGGAATGGATCCTCTGCCCCACAACACAGATTTTCCGAGGGCCAGAAAAATAAAAATCCAGAAATCAGAGAAAGAAACACAACTGCCTTTTTTGCGCTAATAAAAGATTAGTAATCCTCTGATACAGAAATAGATACTTCTCAATAAATGGCAGCAATAAAATAACACTGCTGCATTATTAGGAAACAAAGCACCTTGATAAGAAGTTTGCGTAACTGGAAACGGGAAATAGAGTTGGGATTGTTGTAGCAGAGGATGCTGTATCTCACTTGGACATAAGATGAAGAGTGCACAGGTTCAGTTATGGTAATATCATGGGAGGGCTGTTGGCTGTGGGTCTTCTTTCAGATGATCCCTTTCATACCACCGTCCAAAAAGCGTCACGGTGACGACTGGTTTTGTTGGTATCGTCTTACTCATCAAGCGCCCATCGCTCAATACCTGATCGAAGAAGGAGATGAGAAGGAGATGAGGAGAGGAGCACTCATACCGCGCCCATCGCTCAATACCTGATCGAAGAAGGTAAGAGAAGGAGATGAGGAGAGGAGCACTCACACCAACAGGCTGAGAGCTCAGAAAGATGTGACGTAACAGGAAGAAAGTCCATCATCAGACCGTATCTCCTCCTGAAACCAGTGACTTCATTATTTAATTGGTCTACTCACTATGAGCAAGTTCACTTTTGCTGTTTAGGCAGTTTAGTCCATTACTATCCCACAGAGAACCCACCATGACACCGCTCCCGGGTGCCCCCTTACCTCGAAATCCCCAGGGGCCAGCTGCACCCCGCTGTACAAGACCTCAGGAAAGACATAGTTGGTGCCAAACGTCCCGCTGAGGGAGAACATCTGAAACTTGGTCCGAGCCGTCTCCACCGGCTGCCCACACGTCTTCAGGTCTGGGCTCTTGCACTTGAGCACCGTGCATATCTGCAGGGAGGAGGAGACAACAACACGTTTAGCAAGATGGAAACACTCTGGTAGGAAAGGCTTGTGTCATCCAAGTGTGTCGGAGCAGGTGAGCATCACACAATCTCTTTCGTAACCTTTAAGCAACTCCTTTTTAGTTCAATTTTTTTACCCCTTGACCTGACTGGGGGTATTGCAGACCTGAATTGCCTCAGCAGTTAGAAACAACCTGTTTCTGACGTATTCTGAAATAACTGACTTTCTGCCAGTGATGGTTTTTGTCCCTGCTAGGTTGACAGTTGGACTCGATGATCTGAAAGGTCCCTTCCAAACTCAGTAATTCTATGATTCTATGATTTCAGCCCCGGAGGCGAATCTTGTTGCTTCCACTAATTCTTTGTTCCCTTGCCGTCCCTTCCAAACTCAGTAATTCTATGATTTCAGCCCTGGAGGCGAATCCTGTTGCTTCCACTAATTCATCCAATTGCCCGTTCTCTTGTCTGAAGATTCCTTTCCCATGTTTCAGTAAGATGAACTTGGGAATGGAAATTTTAGGCAAATGAAACAAAATACTACTCATGGGTACGTTGTGCAACTGTACACACAGGTCTTATTACTGATATTTGTACATGTTGCTAATGACAATTCATTAGATGGCTGGTAGTCCACGACATGTTGCTAATGACAATTCATTAGATGGCCTCATAGTCCATAAGAACCCTGAATTTGATGTTCTTCATTCAGCTCCTGGTGAATATATATCAAGGTGGTGAAGTCACAAAATCACAGAATTACAAAATGGCATGGGATTGGAAGGGACCACTGGAGATCATCTAGTCCAACCCCCTGCCAGAGCAGGTCCACCCAGAGCAGGTTGCACAGGAATGTGTCCAGGCAGGTTTGAAATGTCTCCAGAGATGGAGACTCCACCACTTCTCTGGGCAGCCTCTTCCAGGGCTCTGCCACCCTCACAGGAAAGAAGTTCTTCCTCACATTTAGATGGAACTTCCCATGTTCAAGTTTGTGCCCACTTCCTCTTGTCCTGTCACTGGGCACCACTGAAAAAAAGACTGGCCCCATCCTCCTGACACCCACCCCTTAAGTATTTATAGGCATTCATCAGATCCCCACCCAGTCTTTGCTCCAGACTAAAAAGACCCAAGCCCCTTTGCCTTTCCTCATCAGAGAGATGTTCTAGGCCCCTCATCATCTTTGTAGCCCTTAAGTCAGCACCCTCTCTTACAGTTCTGAGTCTGTAGTTGCAGCCCACAGAGGAAATTAGGAATGGGGATGGTTTGTCCATAGAGTTAATTCTCCAAGTCACAGCTGATAAATGTTTATGGACACCATAAAGAAATATGAAATAGTGCTAGCATTCCCATGAAAAATGAGAGGATTTTGGCTGGTTTTGCTGACAGGTGATGGAGGAGTTTGTCTATTTGTGGCAGATACCGTGGGACAAAAGAAGTGTATTTGCAAACATCAGAAGTCTCGCTCATCAGCAAATATGTTTTCATGTTGAAATGCAAATAAGCAGAGAAATAAAGTATCAGATTATCTCAATATGTCCTGAGGAAACGAAAAAATACTGAGGGGAAAAAGGAAGAGCAGAAACTCCTGTCTTCTCTAGAAAATTCAGTGCTGGTAGAGGCCATCTGGCACAATCCCTGAAATGAATTTTCCAAGCAAACTCACTGAGTTTATTCAAGCTCCCTTCTTAAATGTATTACACGAGCTGTTTGCTGGCCAAGACCTCCCCCCATATCCTGGAATCCACACCAGCTGGCACACAAAGGCCGTGTTGACAGACAGAAATAACTAACTAAAAAAAGAATAATCTGCTGGCACAATAACTTAATTATGAAGGCAAAGAAGGTTTGCTAATGTGGCTATAAGCAAATTCAACCAGGATGAAACTCACTGTCTTCCCAAACGTTTGATTAAAAGATAGGAAGAGTAGACATTTCCAGTAAAAGTCGTATGCCATTTTAGTAAACTTCATTGCTATAATTTGAGTAATGACAAAAAATTAGCATCTCTGTGAATCTAAATTTCCCGAGCGTCTCATAAAGATAGAAACAATCAACTGATTTTTTAACAGCAACCTTTTGATGATGATTACAGAGGAGATTTGGAACACTTGCTGGAGAAAACAGTCACAAAAGAAAACTAAATTTCCCTAATATTGCATGCTTAAAATAATAGTGAGAGCACTCTGGGAACTTAAAAGAGGTTTAGGGGCCTCTCCACTGCATTTGTTGGATTTAAAGGTAAGCAAGCTTGGATTTTACTATGAGGGTGGTGAGACACTGGCCCAGGTTGCCCAGAGAAGCTGTGGCTGCCCCATCCCTGGAGGGGTTCAAGGCCAGGCTGGATGTGGCCTTGAGCAACCTGGTCTGGTGGGAGGTGTCCCTGCCCAGGGCAGGGGGGTTGGAACTAGATGATCTTTGAGGTCCCTTCCAACCCAAACCATTCTATGATTCATATGATTCTATGATTTTGTTTGTGGGCGTGTTTGTGGGTTTTTTTTGTGGTTGGACTCTATGATCTCAAAGGTCCCTTCCAACCATGAAGATTCTGTGATTCTGTGACATTTTATATCAGTGCTCTGGTATAAAAGAAAGTCATTGTCATTTTCCCCCCACAAGAGCTTTCCTAAAATAAGTAGTCCATGTGTCCCCCCCAACCAAAAACCATTACCTGCAGATAGTATTGGCCTTCAACGACATGAAGCCCATCAAAAGCACCCAGCACATAAACTTCATCTTCTCCTTTCCCTATCATCTTGTAGCTCAGGTAACAGCAGAGGTCCTTCTGGCAAACGGCGACAGCCCCCTCAGTCTTAGTGAGCTCCGTGAAAGTGAACCTGTCGTGGAAGATGAGTCCTTCAAAATCATTGTCGTTTGGTGGGGGTCTTGGGCCACTCCGAGCGTAGGAGCTCCAGTTGACAGCAGGAGGGAAGGCAGGAGAAAGGCGAGGGTGAGAATTGAGTTCAGCAATGAGGAGGAGACCATCCTCAGTTTCCATGTTGTAGTAGTATGTTCTGGCTCCGTCTGGGGCGTAAATCCCGCTCCCTGAGGACAGCACAATAGTCAGGTCAAAAGGAATAGAAAATTTCATACTGTCCTTTAATTGTCCCTGCAGTGAGCTTATCCCCTATTTTATAAATATTACAGAAATTTCAGTCTCATCCAAAGGTGACCATTAGCAGTACACAGAGCTCATGCTTTGGCAAAGAATAATATTTATCTCTCTGGGTGAGCTCTGCTCAGCATAGCCAAAGACAGAGGATGTTACCTTATGGTTGTATTTATGGCCTTCCCCAGTTCTCTTTTCTCCTGCATGCAACAGTTGCTTGAGAATTCCTTTATTCTTCGCTAATTCATATTAAAAGGCCATCTACCCATTGAGACCATCCAAAATGCAGAATTCTTAGCAGCGTTACTGCAACAGGTCTGAAAATTGCTTTTCAACAGTTTTCCACAACTGCGTTAAATACAGCTACAAACAAGTCTTTCATTTGCCCAGAATAAGTGGAGCCACACATGGGGTTTACAAGTATATTCATTATCCACCTAAACATAAGGAGGAACTTCTTTCCTGTGAGGGTGGCAGAGCCCTGGAAGGGGCTGCCCAGAGAAGTGGTGGAGTCTCCTTCTCTGGAGACATTCAAACCCACCTGGACACGTTCCTGTGCAACCTGCTCTAGGTAGACCCAACTCTGGGGAGGGGGGTTGGACTTGATGATCTCCAGAGGTCCCTTCCAACCCCATATGATTCTATGATTTGGCATTCAATTGTAGACTTACAGGCGGAGAGGAAAAGAACCTAAGTTTCAGAAGTTTCTACTCAGATAGAAGGGGCAGTAACTTGCTACTTCTTTAGACACAGTAAAAGAAAGAAAGAAAAAACCTAACCAGCCAGGGAGAAGAAAAGAAAACACCACGAGTTTTGCTGCACTTTGTATGGCATCAGTAGAAAAGGGGGTTGTCAGCTTTAAAGTTTGGTGGCTAGACTCTTCATCTTCCAAAGAAATACATGAGATCCCTCTGCAAAATTTATAGAATCATAGAATCATAGAATTGCCCAGGCCGGAAGGGACCTCCAAAGGCCATCTAGTCCGACCTCCCCGCAGTCAGCAGGGACACCCCCAACTAGACCAGGTTGCCCAGGGCCTCGTCGAGCCTCTCCTTGAGTATCTCCAGGGAAGGGGCCTCAACCACCTCCCTGGGCAACCTGTTCCAGTGCTCCACCACCCTCACAGGAAAGAACTTTCTCCTCATCTCCAATCTAAATCTGTTCACCTTACAGGACAGGGAATAAATATTCATGGACATAAAGATTTCTCATGCAGAGTGAGAATGAATTACCTGTCATAGACAGGCTGGTATGGTGTGTATTGGCAGCCAGGAAGTTGACGCCCATGCCCATGGCCCAGGCCGAGTGAAACTCAATTGCCGTCAGGAAGGGCAAGACGTTCATCCAAGCCGTTGGGAAGAGCACGGTGTCCACCTGCAGCTCGCTCACCAGGACCACGGCAGGCTCACGGAACAGGATGTCAAAGCAGGTGAAAATGCCAAACTTCCCAAAAGGCGTCTCAAAGGTGATGGCTTCCGGCTCTTTTGGGTAATTAAACTGAGTTTCTGACATAAAGAGATTATACTGTAGGGGAAGATAAAAAAGAGAAACCAGTTGAAGGCATTGGTTGGACTTGATGATCCCAAGGGTCTCTTCCAACCTAGATGATTCTATGATTCTATGAAGGCACCTACTGCAACATCCTGGAGTCATTCCCTAAAATTTTTCAGAATGACAAGATAATTTTTTTAACCTGTGTTGGAAGCCTTCACATCTAGGAAGTCACGATCACCATAGTGCCCAAAAGGTGGATACGGGGAGACACATCTAGCTGGGAAAGCAACCAACTATCTGCAGCTCTGTTGGTGTCAGCCACCCTCAACTCCCATAAGAATAACCCCTCCAGTCTTCCCGCCTAGTTTATCATTCTGGTAACCCAAAAGACACGCAGGAGAGAAATAATAAGAATGATGAGGAGCAGGTAGGGTCTGGTGCCAAGAGAGAGGACTGGTGACCTTTGTGTGGAGAGGCACAGAAGGACTGGAAACACCCAGCACCAGCGGGAGGTGTGAGAGAGTCCAGGGAGATTGCAGAGTGGAGAAGAAAATAAAGGTGAGGGTGATGAGGGAAAGGCAGATCTCAGAAAAATTCAAGTTTGTGACATTTTCAGCTTTCCAATGTTTTCCTTCTGGTTTCCTTCCTTTCACGTTTATTAAGAGAGTCCTTTAATCTCCAGGTGGCCTGGACAGTATACACGTGCCACTGAGCCAGAAGATAGGTCCAGCTTTACCTTGACCTTCAACTCACCTCCTGGGCCATGCCAGGCTGGCACACAGAGGACCATCCTCCATAGTGTCAGTGTCCCCTTCACCCAGTTTGCTCAAAAAAGAAATCTCTTGGCATTGTTTCTGAAGAACCAGGTGAAATACTGGGCCTAAAGTGCATTAAATAAACAACTGACTTCAAGTCCAACCACATCTGCACGATATCTGCATGTGACCTCAAACAACTTTGATGAACCTTGCAGGTAGGCACATGAAACTGAGAGAAGACACTTTCATTGGGTGTAAATGTCTCAATGCCCTCATCTCTGTTTAGATCTGTTGTTTTGTCCAGATTATTCCTGTTCTGCAAAAACTGTGCTGAAATACCATCAGAAAAACAAATCACAGAATCACAGAATCTTCTAGGTTGGAAGGGACCTTAAAGATCATCTTGTCCGACCATCAACCTAACTGACAAAAATAGACACCCACACAACAAACAACAAAAATGATAGGAAAGGGCCTGTCTTGCTTTAATCAGACTACTTTTGTAGGACGAGATGCAGATGAACATTTTTAAATCCTGGAACGTGAAGGAGTAGTCTGGTGCAAAACCTGGCACTGAAAACTAAAGCTGCTCAGGCAGCAGAATTTCCAGTAATAGGGAGTTAATGAACTACGGAAGTCAACCAAAACCATATGGCACTAAATTGAACCAGAACAATCATTTTTCCTTCTGGTCTGTTTTGAGAAACATGACAGCGAATGCAGATTTGGAGTCAACACTTCACAGCAAGAGAGAGATTCTTTCAAATTATAAACAGAAGCAAAAAGTCTGCCTTGGGACTATGACTGGTATTTAATTCTCTTGCCAGATAAAGAAAATTTTGGAAGAAGTGGGAAAAAAAGCTCCTACCTTTCCAAGGCCACTTTACCTTGTGGTAACGAGCCACCAGTTTCCCCTCGGGGTCGAAGACGACGTCGGTGTTGTACTGGTAGCGACCGTCGCTGGGGCAGCTGGGGTCACTGGAGTTACAGGGCTTCTTGTCCCCCATGTTTGCCACCACATAGATGGAGTTATTCCTGGCCATGCAGCTGAGTCGCTCCTGCACTGGAGCTGGACCAAACCTGATGCATTTTAGGGAAAAGGAAAA